GAATAATAAAATGAAATCTAACATTAGATTTACGTGATTCGATCGTGGTGACCTAATTTGACAGGAAGGGCAATAACAAATTCTACTATAGATTAAGCGATACAATAGAAATTTTAATCGCACTCGAATCACTCAAACACTCTCAATATTTCCGAGCTCCCATCACGCCTAATAATTCACACGGTATTTTACCTTACAATTCCTCACAAAATAATATCTTAATTTCACGAAAAAATTATACATAAATCTTATCACAAAATTAATCGACTTCAACAATAAAAGCTCCTGGTGTAATTGCACGTAAACCCACTGACAAGCACTCGTCAAACGGTACTTCAACCTCTGCACGTAATCATCAACAACAGCTTAACAAGCACTCACTAAGCGGCAGTTCAAGACGTCAATCCCAATGGTAGGAAACACACACACACACACACACCTACATATAGACAAATATATATATATATATATATATATACATGTAAATGCATGTACACACATATGTGAAATCCACTTGTGTCTGAATATGGTCTTAAGTCCATATTAGACTTTCCGATCTTGACCGTGACTTCCACAGGATTTAAGAAAGAATATTTCTTGCTCTTTCTCTAACACAGACTTTCCTTTTCTTGTTTTCTGACCCAAAGTCAAACTTCAAGAAACATCCAAGTTAACAACGATTAAAGACCAAATTCAGACTTTGCAAATTTATGCCACATCGGAATATATCAAAAAAATTTCCAGTCGGATATCCACGTGCACTTATAGATTCACGGGCTCAAACTCGAGACATAGTTTAACAACCGGCGCTTTAAGGTTGAGGTTTGTTGATGGCCGACTGTGATTATCCGGCAATTAATATAAGGTGGTTAACAGTGAAGAATACATATTCATGGCTTGAGATTTTTGCTGTGTTGATGTTATATTGTAAGTCTGGAAGTTCATGGGGTAGTGAACATTATCTGGTGTGCTCTCAGTACAGTAGGAGGAAGACGATGGGTGTTATATATCTTTGGGCTTGAATAGGTTTGATAAATTTGGATTTGCTTCGGCTTTAGAAAATTCGGGCTTGACTCTGGTCAAAATTGAATTGGACTTGAACAAATAAGCCCATTTCGTTTATAAAGCCTTTCATGTTTTCAGTGACCTGGACCTGCGAGGTCCAAGTTGGGTCCAGATTCCGACTAGGCCCCAGTCTCTATTTCCAGAAAACAAAAAAAAAATCGAAAACAAAAACTTGAAAAAATTGGTCAGAGGATAGGCCTTGCTTAGGTTGTTCGATTTTATTATTATATTAGTATAGTTTCATTTATAAAGTACGCATGATTTAGGATAACCTGTGATTTTCTCAAGTTTAGATATGGAAAAATCAGTTTCTTTAAAAAACTGAATTTGATTTGAACTAACCTCACTGGGATTATTGTGAGACCGTGTTTTCTTTACCTGACTCATATTGAGTTACTTTACCACACTTCACCATTTTATTCACTTTTCAGTACTATTCTTGATTTGTTTGTTTGTTGTGAATGCTTTTATACCGTTTTTGTGTTGAGATTTATTTTCTTAGTCGAATGGTTAGATTACATTTTAGGACCATAATGAATACAAAAACATCGCATGAACACTTAGCGGATGAGAATCTTAGGATTCATAATTTGGTAAAAAGACCGCTGAGATGCTCCTACTCATTTGCACTATGGTGCATTTCGCTTGCTTTATCATTTAATGGTTAGGAGTCTATAAAGTCGTTAACCTTAGATCTCTCGGGTCGAAGTGAAGTATTCTCCCGTGCCTCACTTGGTTTCTAACTGATTCAATTGGCTAGTAGCGACTCCTTACATGTAATTCTCATAGAGCTAATCAAATTAAAATGAAAATCCCAATGTCATGCGATGTAAGGATTTGAAAGAACCCACCTTGATTGAGGATTGTTGGTCCCCAACTCGACAATACCTCTAAACCGTTATTTTCCCGACATGGGCATTGGGAGGGTCGCGACAACTATTGTATACAAGTTATACGACATCGTCATTTGTCACGATCCTTAGGTTTTTTAGGCTTGAAGGATTGTGAACCATTTGTGAAGATCGGACGAGCCTCTCTAGTGTTCTCTAGAATATTCCTGGGGCGGGTGATATTATAACTGTACCATATTCTACAATCTTCTTGTAATAAATGCGAGTAGTTGGTAAGTGTGGAAATGCAATCTCCGTCGTAAGATTGAAGAGAGATCTATGGACGTGATTAGGCTTATACTTGTAATCTCCTCCCCTCATTTGTATCCATCCCACAAATAATACAACTACCGGAGAAATTCTACTCTCGACTCTTATTTTTTTGAGCAAAATTAGGGATAAGCTGAAAATTGATGTGATTTTGCAAAACTAAGCTCGCAAAAGGTGAAATGGTCCTAAAGTTAGCCCACATTCCCATGACTCGCATACTTCTACTGATCTTTCTGGCCATTAAACGTAAAAAGATGTCAATACAAATTACAAACTTTGAGAGAAGCCAGCAGAGCCGGGCATAACAAGCCAAAATGTGAATAATAATAGTTAGTTATTGAAGAATACAAAAGATCCTAAGATCTTTCAATCACAAGGACCAAATTTATTTTGTTAAAAAAGACACTGTAAGCTCGCCATAAACTTACGTATCGGCCATCACTTTGGGCCATAACTTTTTCTGATCACTTTGGTGCCAACTTTTTGAAAAACGATCATTTTAGTGCCAATATCGATGTGGCTCACCGGAAATCCGATGTGGCGCCGACACGGCTACGGAGAGGTCCCTCAAGATTAAAACCAAAACTGGTGTGCTCTCAGTACAGTAGGAGGAAGACGATGGGTGTTATATATCTTTGGGCTTGAATAGGTTTGATAAATTTGGATTTGCTTCGGCTTTAGAAAATTCGGGCTTGACTCTGGTCAAAATTGAATTGGACTTGAACAAATAAGCCCATTTCGTTTATAAAGCCTTTCATGTTTTCAGTGACCTGGACCTGCGAGGTCCAAGTTGGGTCCAGATTCCGACTAGGCCCCAGTCTCTATTTCCAGAAAACAATAAAAAAAAATCGAAAACAAAAACTTGAAAAAATTGGTCAGAGGATAGGCCTTGCTTAGGTTGTTCGATTTTATTATTATATTAGTATAGTTTCATTTATAAAGTACGCATGATTTAGGATAACCTGTGATTTTCTCAAGTTTAGATATGGAAAAATCAGTTTCTTTAAAAAACTGAATTTGATTTGAACTAACCTCACTGGGATTATTGTGAGACCGTGTTTTCTTTACCTGACTCATATTGAGTTACTTTACCACACTTCACCATTTTATTCACTTTTCAGTACTATTCTTGATTTGTTTGTTTGTTGTGAATGCTTTTATACCGTTTTTGTGTTGAGATTTATTTTCTTAGTCGAATGGTTAGATTACATTTTAGGACCATAATGAATACAAAAACATCGCATGAACACTTAGCGGATGAGAATCTTAGGATTCATAATTTGGTAAAAAGACCGCTGAGATGCCCTACTCATTTGCACTATGGTGCATTTCGCTTTGCTTTATCATTTAATGGTTAGGAGTCTATAAAGTCGTTAACCTTAGATCTCTGGTCAGAAGTGAAGTATTCTCCCGTGCCTCACTTGGTTTCTAACTGATTCAATTGGCTAGTAGCGACTCCTTACATGTAATTCTCATAGAGCTAATCAAATTAAAATGAAAATCCCAATGTCATGCGATGTAAGGATTTGAAAGAACCCACCTTGATTGAGGATTGTTGGTCCCCAACTCGACAATACCTCTAAACCGTTATTTTCCCGACATGGGCATTGGGAGGGTCGCGACAACTATTGTATACAAGTTATACGACATCGTCATTTGTCACGATCCTTAGGTTTTTTAGGCTTGAAGGATTGTGAACCATTTGTGAAGATCGGACGAGCCTCTCTAGTGTTCTCTAGAATATTCCTGGGGCGGGTGATATAATTCTACTCTCGACTCTTATTTTTTTGAGCAAAATTAGGGATAAGCTGAAAATTGATGTGATTTTGCAAAACTAAGCTCGCAAAAGGTGAAATGGTCCTAAAGTTAGCCCACATTCCCATGACTCGCATACTTCTACTGATCTTTCTGGCCATTAAACGTAAAAAGATGTCAATACAAATTACAAACTTTGAGAGAAGCCAGCAGAGCCGGGCATAACAAGCCAAAATGTGAATAATAATAGTTAGTTATTGAAGAATACAAAAGATCCTAAGATCTTTCAATCACAAGGACCAAATTTATTTGGCAAAGTACACTAGAAGTGCCATAACTTATGTACGGCCATCGGCTTTGGTCTTGTAACTTTTTTTCGGATCGGCTTTGGTGCTAACTTTTGAAAAACGATCATTTTAGTGCAATATCGATGTGGCTCATCGGAAATCCGATGTGGCAGCAGCACGGCTAGATAGGAGAGGTCCACAGAGGCTCGCGGAGAGGTCCGATCAAGCATTAAAAACCAAAAACGACGCCGTTTAGCCATTGGCGTGTACTTTTTCAAAAAAATAAATAAATAAATAAATAAAAAAAGCTGCAGCGGCGGCGGCGAGGAGTCCTCGGCCTTGCGCATCAACTCCACCACCGCTGGGAAGGGCCGTCGCCTGGGTCGCGACGGCGAGGTCTCGCCTCGCCGGATCCGGCCCTCGCCGACCACTACGCCCACCACCTCTAGCCCTTCCCGGCGGTGGTGGGTTGGCGGCAGCAGCGGCGAGGGCTCCCTCACCGCTACTGCAACTTTTTTTTTTTTATTAAATTATTTTTCTAAAAATTAAAAAATTCGAAAAAAAAGCCACATAATTTTCACGTGTACAGGTCAGACCATTTTTTTATTTTGCCAAATTTATTTAGATCGTCGATCACATGAGAGTTATGGTGGACGCACATGATCAACAATCCAGATGCTCATTAGTCCATCGGACCATGCAATGGAAGCTGAAGAGAGACCACAATTCTAGCTGCAGAAAACAGAACTGGCGAGATCATCGTGGAAATACTCATCGTTAATGTACAATGTACAACATTGTGATTTCTGTCATCGTTACATAACAACATAGCACCTCGACATTTACATACAGACACACGGAATATATAATCCGCTCCATACATTATGAAATTCCACACTTCCATAAGACTTTTTGGCTATGAAAAGGCGCCCCATCTGCATTCTACTAAAAGCCCTCTCGCAATGACTTTTGCCTCTGGCACTTGCCGTGCCGCAGGTCAAAAGAGCCCAAGGGAAGCACAAGCTGCCGCCGCCGCCGCTGTTGTCATCATCACAAACTCAGTTTGCTCAACTCAAGTGCGATGTCCATCCTCAAGCACTGTCGGTTGATTGGGAAAACTGCTTCCAAGATGGGCTTCAGTTAGAATTAGACTGGGAATTATTCTGATGTTCCGAATCCGCATCATCTTCAAAAAGAAAATTAATCGACAGACTGTTCTCGGCATCTTCCTGACTCAGTGCGGCATCTTCCTGACTCAGTGAAGTGGGAGCAATCAATGAGACTCCATCTTCCAAACCCTCATTAGAGAAGATGAGAGCAGTGGAGCCATAGTCCGGCCGCCCCGTCACCAACCTCAACATATAGTTCCGCAAGTTATTTGGCTTTTTGAGTTTGAACTTGTGCTCTGGTCGATGTTGTTGGTTGAACCGGCCAGGGAGCTTGCAACCGGAATTGTAGCAATCTCCACAGAGATCAAAGCCAATCTTCTCGACACAATCCTGACACTGGTATCTATCCCCGATTATTGGATACATCTACATATCAAGACCCAAGAATATTACTATACATAATCCAACTTAATTAACTTAATAATACTTACATCTCACTTCCATTAGTTAAAATAAAAAATTGGTTGGTCACACCGAGGCCAGAAATTCGTTTACACCATCCGCAGCGACATATTCAAAAGAAAAGACTAGGAGGGACCAAAAGTACAATGCCGCTAATTCAAAATATGCAGATTGCTAAGGAGAACTATAAATTTATCATTTGATTATACTTTGGCAATTACCATATGAGAGTTCCACATTTAACGTAATTTAAAAGTTTATTTCACTAGTTCTGTATGCTGCTAAGAACAATGATTATATAATTAAACTACGGTTACAAAGCCTCAAATACCAAAACAAAGCAAGTATAATCTTGGAATAGATCCCCACTTATACATCTGGGCCAAAAAAAAAAAAAAGTTCCAACAATGGTAAAATTTCGGTGCCTACATCCATATCTTTAGCTAATATAAGAAAATTGCTTGCTATCAATTGAAGTTCAAGATAATCCAAATTTTTCTTTCCATTCAGTAAATATAAAAGAGAACATTTTGCATTTTGCATTAAGAGAGAGAGAGATAGAGAGAGAGAGAGAGAGAGAGAGAGAGAGATAAAAGGCTTACCCCACAGTAATCGCAGCCAACTCCCAAATGGGTCACTGAAGTATCAATTGACCAAGATGAATCAGCTTTGCTATTACCTACTAACACAACACCAGAACCATTGTGGCATCTCAAATATTACAAATGGCAATGAATAATGACTTAAGCTACATGTCATGATGGTCTGGAACAAACCCCTTGAACTCTGAACTATATAAAAGGCAGAGCTGCAGAACATACGAGATTTTGGGCTATCATTCTCTGAGATAGTCAGTCTAGGCCGTGCGGCTAATCTCCTCAAAGCATATTCATCAGGAAACTGTTGCTCCAAAAAGTGATCCAGCTCCAAACAAACTTTCGGTAATCCCCCTGGATGTCGGCTTTGACAAACTTGACATGTGAGCTTTTCATCAGCTGGATACACAATGCAAGATTCACAATATACTGGAAATGCAAACCACATAAAAGAGGAATTAGGATAAATATTTTCTAATTTTAAATTTCAAAAGAATTTCTGAACCGAGAAGATGAAACTAAGTGTAAAGAATACCATGGCCGCAATTAAGAGCAACGGGATGAAAAAGCAATTGCCTGCATTCTGTGCAGAGCACATCCGATGCTATAATCTGCTTGCAACTTTTGTCTGAGCCAACTAGATGCCCATTCTCCTCTTCAACAGGTATATCATGTTTTCGTTTCAAGTCTTGTTTGGGACTGCTTGGACCGTAACCATCAATACCTGCAACAGGCTCTGATTGCACCTTACTTGCATGGGGTTCACCATTTCTAGAAGACCCAGTGTCCATAGTTGAGTTTGGGCCCAAACATGTCAGGCTTGATTGTGAAGAACCGGATAACTTTTGTTCTTCCTCATTGCCTGATCTCCACGAAAGAGCATCAAACTGCGGAGAGAAAGTTCCCATTCTCTTTTCTTCCTCTGAAGCAGACAAAGGTTGGGGGGTAAAGGATCTCAGAAAAGTTGATTTGTGAAATATTTTAACAAAACTAAGCCAGAAGAAAAATCAATGTAGAATCATAATAACCAGTGGATCTGATGATTCTCATATGCATGATTAAATGGGACAACAAAATGCGATCAAGCTTAAGAAGAAGCTGCTAGCAACCATCCTAAAAGGAACATTCTCATACACCTCGCCAGGTTGTTTAATTGCTTCAGTATTTAAAAGTTGCAGAACTCATACTCATACGACAGAATAGGACAATCATCTAGAACTGCATATTAAGACTTAAAGGATAGTGCGTTAAGCATGCATTCCAACACCCCCTGTAATGCCACTGATACTTCTGAATATTAAGGCCCCATTAAGTACATAGAACAAAATAGACATCGCATGAGAAAACTATGGAGTTCATCTAAGTTAGAAGCATTTAGTTCATATTTTACATAAGAATAACTTTAAAAGGGGAAGACAAAGCTATGGAGTGGAAAGGTACAACCAGCGGTCAAGCATTACCACTTGTTTTCCAAGTGCATAATCAGCTAGCTAAGCCCTCCTTCACTCAGCAATAAGATGTGGAAAAGAAGGGAAATTAACAGCAAGTATGGCCTTCTAGATCCTTTTCACAGAATCAATCAATAAATCCTCCCTTGACATAAATAGATCATAAAATTTGATAAGTCAGGCCAAGTCCTTTTCATGGGCAACATTGTTCTCCAGGTATTTACATATCTAAGAACAGGCAAGTGAACATAGAAAATTCACCTAAAGTTTGTATTTCCCTTCTCCTATAGGAATCAGGATACATCTTAAGCAGCAAAAAGTGAAGTAACAGACAGATGCTGGGAAAGTGAAGGTATGGTTGCCGACAAAGTGGGCATTTGGTTTCACGAAAACCACTCATTGATTGATGTACACACCAGAAACAGGAGATATGGCCACAAGCTGCATCAAAGGAAACCAGTAATTTGTTAATAAGAAGATAGAGAAACCTCCATGTGTATGTGGAAATAAAAGCTCCTTACATAATACGACTGGCTTGTAAAGGAGTTCCCTACAGCGAGATGAGAATAGATTAGTGAAACTGCTTCTCCCAAATATAAAAATAAATAGCTGCTCAAATCCACAAGCAACATTAAGGTGACATATAAAAAAAGAAAAGAAAAACAGGACCCAAACCCAATGTCACTAATGCAGGTTCAGGCATTGCGTGGCGTAATTTCTTAGAGGATGATCCTCATTGTTGCGACTGGAATTTACTTCTTATGCTGTTCACATGTGCATTTTAGTTACTAGACCTTCACATTGAATGACTAATTATATTTTTGTAAAAAAAATCTCATAATTTGCATTTGAAAATACGAGACGAGAGATAGAAGTTAATTTAATCGTTTAAACTGAGTAAGCAGCAGCTAACTTTATTTGCAATACACAACCGTGAAATTGAGAACATAAAAGGAACCCAAGGGAGAAAAAGAGTCAACTGCAGATTTGATGAACCTACCACAGTCAAAATCAAAGCTTCTGTTACAACAAGATTATAAAAAAAAAGTACACCAACTATAGAAGCCGCGCCAGTCATTATCTAGGCATCTCAACTAGACATTATCAGATGAAGACCCTCTTCGCAATTAAAGAAGAGGCAAGGAAAGCATAGCGAAACCTGCAATTGAAGACCAAATTGTGGAATTCAAAAATCAGCATCAAGACAACATTTTATCTATAGTAATTATCATTCCATACCCTCATTAAGAAAGCCACAACTTATAGTCAAAAGGAATTTCCTGTTACCGGAGCCCTCCATCGAAATCTAGCTTTTTTCTAAAGACCCCATTGTATATAGCACCGATTTCGACCCCGCCGAGGCAATTTCTAGAGCTCGATTGATGCTCTCCAAACACCTAAGCGAGAATGCAAGAGTAAAATCCCTTCTCGTATCAGTTCATTTGTCCCTTTTCCCCGTCCGCGCAACTTCGGCGTCGATTAGCAAACTGGTTATCGCCCAAGACAACACCAATTGCGAGTAGCGCACACAGAAGAGAAAAACATCATCTTTTGCGAAAACCGCAAGACGCAAGACGCATACGCACACAAGCGCGAACGAAACGAAATTAGCCGAATTCGCACGAAACCACGGGCTGCCGCAAGATACAGACGCGATTACACCGAAATCCTTCCATCTTCCAACAAGAACCGAGGCATACAGCCTTGCTACGCGTTGATCGGGGAAAGAGAAAGAGCAGAAAAAAAAGAAAGAAAGAGGAGAGAACGCTCACAGGCAAATGCAACAAGTGAAAGATTCGGAGATTGGCTCGGGCTCGGCGTCTTCTACAGCCACCCATCGATCCTCCATCTTTCGAGCCCGACTCCTCCAACCGAGAGCGCGAAGCTCGACGGCGACGAAAGGGGAAGAAGAGAGGGAAGGAGAAATCGGAGAGGCGGTGAAGGCGATAAAACTCGAGGTCGAGAGACTGAGGAGATTTCCGATCCTCCTCTTCTTCTGTTGACATGGGGAAAGCTCGGACAAGAGAGGAGGAGAGGAGACGTCTTACATTGAAACGAATCAGATCAGATCCTTCGGTTCAGGACACGTTCGAATAATTTAAGGAAGGAATAGGATGTTAAGTCCCTAATAAGTAACGATGTAAAATAGTCATTCTCCATATGTTTGTATTTAGGAAAAATAACACAAATAGTCTCTAAATTTTGGCTCAATATATAATTTGGTCCCTGAACATTTTATTTGTTTAATGTAAACTCCGAACAAGGAATGACTACATAGAACATTTTCATATAGTTCAGGGACTAAATTGAACATGTACCAAAAGTCTAGGGACCACATTGAACAAATTAAAAGTTCAGAGATCAAATTGAACATTCAGCTAAAGTTCAGGGACTACATTGAATAAATTAAAAGTTCATGGACCAAATTACACATTTGACCAAAATTCAGGGACCGTTTGTGTTATTATCCCTTGAATTTATCAGGGAGGAATAATGACACAAATAGCTCTCGAATGTTGGCCCGGTATGCAACGCTATTCTCGAACTTCTAATTTGTTTGATGTGATCCTTGAATTTTAGTCCGATGTGCAATTTCATCCCTAAACTTTTAATTTGTTCAATATAGTCTCTGAATTTCTGGTAAATGTTCAAATTAGTCCCTATACTATATGAACACATACAAAAAATTCAGGAACCACATTACACATTAAATTAAAGTTAGGGATTATTTATGTTCTTTTTACTATTGTGAATTATAAACTGGTGATGTCACCTTTTGAGTGAATTTCCAATGCCTTTTCACCATCCTTTTCTCGACTAATTAGTTTATTCTTTACTCCTTTTTTAATCTAATTTAATGCCACGTTTGCTATTTATTAAAAGAATATATGTATTTCATGGAGGGGAATGGAATAGTTAAAGGGCAATCTTGACTCTTGATTGATTAATGTGTTTATACACTTATCACTTTAATCTTAATTTTTTGTCGCGTATTACGCTGAGATCGTTTTAATTAAGACGAGCCGGAGAACAAGGAATTGCATTTTATTGACGTGGTGTTCTTAGAATAGTGAGTTGGTTTTTTTTTCAATCAATTTGAATGATGAGAAAGTATAGTCTTTTCATTTCCAATTGAAAAGCATGTGATGGATATTTTCTTTTTCTTTTTTTCTGATAATGATTCTCTAGCCAAATAATTAGCAAGGTAGGTGACAACTGATGTCACAGAAAGCCGCCACATATCCATGTCTTGAATTCTTTGCTAATTTTTCAATAATTAAATGAGAACTTCAACTTTAATTATAGTCAGTTACATCTTTCTCCTTTCAAACTATACATATTACTCTCATCAAGTTTTAATTAAAAATGACATTATATTTTTCTTATAACATTGTTATATTTTGCCTTGCCTAACCAATGTCCAATCACACACAAATCGCCCGTATCATTAACTATTTGTAAATTAGTAATTTCATCACACGACGTTTGAAACTCAGTTACAAGGAAATGATGTACAGTTACACGATCCAATGTCATACCGTAAATAGTCACGTGTGAACAAGAATCTTTGACGTCGCATTTGATTAATCGCAGGTGCATGATTCCACTATAACGATAAGAAAATCATTTAAAGAAAAGAGAAAACATCACATGCATGTTGATGTAGTTGGCTTTAGGAGTTCGCGGCCATGAATGGAATCGGTTCGCTTTGTCAATGGCTTGGAAACATCAGTTCAATTTGGTTTTCGAGCCAAATTAAACCGTCACCCCCCTCCTCAATCCCGAAAATATAATCACAGAGAGAAAATGTGAATCCATGCGATTCGATGCACTTAACTCGCTTCGTTTTGACTTTTAGCATGGAGTCGATCACAAACTTTTGTTCTCGATGTTTCCTGTATTGAAATTAGAGGTCAATTAAACATCAGCATCCCAAAAATCACGCACGGAATTACGACTTGCGTGCATAGGTAAAAAACATCCTCCTCTACTCAATGTCCCACGTGCATTGCTAACCACGAATCCTGAAAAAGCGATGTCGTTTTGGTTTGGGGCTTGGGCTACGCCTAGTTCTGTCAGATCTATTTTGGGCCCAATCGAGCTGAGCCACGGCCAGCGGGCCCAACGCCATAGCGACTTCTGCATTTTCCCTTTTCAGATCTCGTGGCTCTTATTGTCCTCTTATCGGGCAATCTTCTGATAAAGCATATTAGAAGACCCGGCCCAACCTACTTTGGCCGGGTCCTGAACCGGACAATTTTTGTTTTTGTTTTTATGTATATTTTTACGTCGTGAGTGAACTTGGGCAATACACCCGGCCTGATCGTCGAGCCTGGCTGGATCCTAGCCGCCCAACGATCGACCTCGTAGTGTCGATGAGTTACTGTTGCTTTTTTGTCAAGAAAATGACATAAATGATTCCTGAAGTTTGGTCTAATGTGCAATGCAGTCTCTAGACTTTTAATTTATTTAATGTAGTCCCTGAATTATCGATAAATGTCCAATCTACTTCCTAAACTATACAAAAAATGTTCAATGTCACCATTTCATTAATTCAAATTAACGGAATTTGTTGATGCAGCTTCCAATTCGTTTATTTTCATTGGTGAACAAAAAAGAAACGTTACAATCCCTTTTATAAAGGCCTGAAGAGCCGTTTGTACGTGGGATAACATACCTGTCACAAGCCTTGTCTTCATTTCCCCTTATTGGCATCTTAGCATCCCCTTTCTAGCTCAAATCTCGAAATAATAATCCAAGTCATTAAATAACGATGGACACGTTAACACCTTAAATTTTTTCCCTACCCTAAAGTAGAAAGATGTATATATTGACTCATCATCTTTAATAATCCAACTCGGCATATAATAATATCCACGTCATCAAATAATGATCGATTTGTCGCTTGAGTAAGCTGAAGGACAACATTGAACCTTTACTAATAGTTCATGGATCACATCGAACAAATTAAGAGTTCATGAGCTATATTGAACATTTGCTAATAATTTAGGGACCACATCTAATAAATTAAAAATTCATGGATTATATTAAATATCGGGCTAAAGTTGAAGAGTTATTTGCATCATTTTTCCTTTTTTGGTTCTTTTTGTTAGGGGTGTCAGAACCAAACCGAAAAACGAAACCGAGATACGAACCGAACTGAAAATTTTGTGCATTTCAGTTCGGTTCGATTTTCGGTTCGGATAATCACAGCTAACCATTATTTTTTTTCAATTTGATTTATTTCGATTCGGTTACCGAACTCCGAACCGAACTGAAAATAACCTTCCGTTTACCCTAAAGCTAAAAGGGCTAAAACTAAAATCAGAATGGGCCGTCATTTCTCTCTCTCTAACGCATCTCTTTTATTGTCTCCTTCTCACTCTATTTCTATTTCTGAAACTCTCTTCTTCCTCGGCTGTCACTCGAATCCTCCATTTTCTTTTGCTTGCTCATCTTTATCACCTCGTCCCGGTGAGCCACGTCCTTCACTTGCTTCGTTTGACTGGTGATTGCAAAAGACCGAAAGAAAAAAAAACACAGATGGTATTTTGACCAAGCAGCAACAGAACTTCAACGAGAGTGAAACATGAAACCCACAAAAGGGGAGAAGGAAAAGGAAGGGAATTTCTACTATTTCTCGACCCAAGGTTGAGCTCCGCAAAATCGGCGCCATTCTCGAACTCTTGAAGAAGAAACCCTCTCGTTCCTCCTCTCTCTCTCTTCTGTGAGAAATTTTCCAGCTCTAATTGATAGATTGAGCTCTGCAACAGCACGGCCCTCGCAGAATCGGAGCAAAGGACGGAGCTCCGGCACATCGTGTTTGGAATCGCGGGCTCGGCCAAGCTCTGGGAACAGAAGAAACCGAGCCGTGAATAAAAAGCAAAAAAAAAAAAAGGAAAAAAAAGAAGAAACCCAAAACCGAACCGAACCGAACCAAACCGAACTGAACTGATTTTCGGTTCGGTTCGGTTCATAATCGGTTCAAGCGAAATTTGGTTCGGTTCAAGAATGCACCCTTAATGGTTCGGTTCGGTTCGGTTCGGTTTTTCAACAAAACCGAACCGAACCATTTACACCCCTATTTTTTGTAGGTAGTCGAAGGAACAAAAAAAAAACAAGTCAAAACGATTCTGTGAAGGAAAGCTTGAGAGGGTTCTCGTCTGCTCGAACTGCCAAATACGCGGGAAAGCAGTGGAAACTTCGCGGAGGGAGAGAGTCGACGGAAAAGGAAGGTAAGAAAAAAGTCAAAAGGAAGAAGCGACATATAACTAAAAAATAATCAGATTAATACACGAAATACACATGATTAACGAAACTTAATGAGAGTTAGGCAAACAAATAGCATATTTCATAAAGAAGTGTTTGTTTTCTATGGTTCTATTTGTTTTGCAAAATTTTTTTTTCTAAAAATAATTATTTATATCGCCTAAAATAATTAGTTAATGAAAAATATTTTCTTTTTATTGACAACAATTTTTGTCTAAATATTTTCATAAACGATAAAAATATTTTTCGTTTATTCATTTTTGTAAACAATATGAACGATTTGTAAGAAAATGTTTTTAAAAATTATTCATTTAACGCTTTAACAAAACGGAGCCTAAATATCATCGTTATGCGGGCAACATACAAGAGAGGGCAGATTAATCGATAAATGAAAATCGTTATCAATTTCAATAGGAAAAAGTCACAAAAAATCCAAAATTATGCCTATTGTGACATATTTATCATGAATTTTTTCTCGTGACATAAAAAACCCCAAGTCAAGGTTCAGTTAAAGTTTTTATTTCATTTAAGCCACGTGGGCGCTATGTCAATACTATTTGCTTCTTGGCGTCCATGTAGGTAAATATTTAAACGGTTTTCATTTACAGAATTTTGACGGAGGGTAATTGTGCCACAGATGCACAAATTTGGGACTTCTGGCGTTACAGAATTTTAGGATAAATGTGTAGCAATTGACAAAATTTAGGGTTCTTAGTGTCTTTTGCCCATTTCAATATAAGAGAAGAATTATTATTACAAATGTTGTTGTTCCTACACCGATCGTCTTAATAAAACTCAAATAGAACATGCCTCAATTCAAAAAAGAAAAAAAACGCCAACTTTACTTTGAGTTATAATTCCGGTCCGAATTTTTTTTTGTCTCATAAAAAATAAAAGACTTTCACTTAAATTCTAAATTTTGGCCCGAATAATTTAAAAGTTTCACATCACGAGAGTGACTCGAGTAAAAATTGTGCTTTTTATGCCGCTCAAGATAAAGTTGGTTTTTTTTTTCTTTTTTTGGGAATTAGCCCTGTGTTAAGTCGCAATGGGCTCTGACTAAAAAAAAAAAGAAAAGAAAAAGTCGCAAGGGGCGTGCCGCGAGGAAACTGGGAAACAGGAATGGCAGGTTCTAGAAAAGTCCAACCCAACACAACACAAAAATGGCTTTATAAATTCCTCCAAGCGTCCGGGTCAGTTGTCCTCCTATATTTGTTGTGGCCATCGTCGAGTTCTCGCTTCTCGCGTCGTCCTCCTCCGCGCCTCCGTCACACCGCTTGCCTTGGCCCCGCTTCGCTTCCTCTGTTTCCTTCAGGTACTCTCTCTCTCTCTCTCTCTCTACGTGTCTCTGTCTGTGGATCGTGTCCCGCGATCTTGAATTGAAAGCTTCGCTCTTTTCGGTTTGCTCTCGGATTGACCCGGTTCTGCGTCCGGCGCTGGAAAGATTCGAGTCCCGTTTCCCCCCCCCCACCAATCGGTAAAGCTCTTAGATTTTTTTTCTTTCCGTTGCGTCCGGACCTTGCGTTTTATGTTTGTGATTATGCAAATTCGCGCGGTTGTTCTGCGGCGTTTGTTGTCCGTCCCGATTTGGGTGCGACCTGTCTGCGTCTTCCGGTGCGGGATCTTGGTTTCGGGCGTGGCGGGTTAGCGGTGCCGGTCAATGTGGTTCGTTTCTGGTTCGTGTTTGATAGCCGTGCGGCGAATGCGGTACGAAGAAGAGTCGATTCTGTTTGGTTGAGTGCAGCTTTGGCATCCAAACCGACCGCGATGCTTTTTATTTGTAGCGTATAGCAGAACACAGTCCCGGAGAGTGATGGTCTGTGGATTAGTTATATGATTAGGTTCTGATCCAAAGGAGATGGTTGGTTGCGGGTGGGGTTCTTCGAAGCTTTTCCTGCATGCGTGTGGAGGCTGCATCTGGTTTTGGAGAAGCGTTGGCATTTTTAATGTTTACTTAATTATTTTTTTCAGATTTCTTGCTTCAGTTTTCTAACCTCGTAAAACTGTGCTTGTTTTAGTGATTGCCACCTGTCATCCTTTAGATTATCTTTTCCAGAATGCTCTCGGTTCAATCGAAACTTTAGACATGGTAATTTTGCTTCATCGAATCTTGGATCCCTTAATTGGTATATTCTTGAGGAGCTATCTGAGAAGTGTAAAACAAAGTCAGTCAATTTGGTTAATTTTATCAGAAAACCAGCTGCATTGTGGTGCAGCATTTATAGACAAAAGTAGTTGCTTTTTGTGTAGTTTCTCAGTGTAGTTGTGACTTGTGAGGCTTTGCTTTGTTATTTGCATGGCTGGAGTGCTGGTTTTAATGATGTTGGTTCTTTGATTTGTTTAGTCCTTGTAGGTGACACTTTCGCAGTTCACATTTTGGAGTTTTGAAACTGAAATGGCTGAGGTAAATGGAGAACTTCAGTGACGTACTTTGGTTTCTGGTATCTGTTGGTGCATCGTGTGCATGTAGTAACAAATTCTGAATATGGCAGGAGGGTCACAGGGTTTCTTTGAATGTTTATGACCTGAGCCAAGGTCTAGCTCGACAGCTATCCACATCATTCTTGGGGAAGGCGATTGAGGGCATATGGTGAGTGGATTGCAGTTGGAGGAGGAAAAGTCGTCTGTTTGTTTAGTCTTCTCTTGTTTTCATGAAAATGCTGCTTCTGTGTGCACAAGCTCCAAGCAATATATCTTGAAGATTTATTATTATTATGATTATTATTTTTTTTGGGGGTGGGGGGCTGCAAATAGAGACATTATTTAAGTTGGATCTTTGGTACTGAATTTTTAAATGGTAATGTTTCTTAATGATATTGAGTACTCTTACTGACATCAATGATTTGAAAAATTTTCCTTGAACGCAGGCACACTGGAGTGGTAGTGTATGGTAATGAGTACTATTTTGGAGGAGGTATACAACATGCTCCTGTTGGGACAACACCATATGGTACTCCCATTCGCGTTGTAGATTTGGGTGTCACACATGTGCCAAAAGATGTTTTCGAGATGTATTTACAGGAGATCAGTCCTCGATACACAGCTGAAACATACAGTCTGCTCACTCACAACTGTAACAACTTCAGCAATGAGGTAGCCCAATTTTTAGTGGGTTCATCCATTCCAGACTATATTTTGCAGCTTCCTAATGAGGTCATGAGTAGCCCAATGGGTGCTTTGATATGTAAGTCCATCTTAACTGTGTTATAATTGATTTCTGTTTCTAGTGCTTCTGGCCAAGATGTTCCTTCAATTGTCTATTAATTCCCCTTTCCATAAACTAAAGGAATTGGTTGGATGTAACATGCTCTTGCACCACCCTAGTACTGTGCTACAAATAGAAATCTATGCCATCAGAATGCGGCAGTAAACACCTGTCCCATTCGCCCTGTGATCTTGAGTTTGGATATGTGCTCCTCTATGTCCACAGGTCGTGTGTTACTGTTTGTTATTCCTCAGTGTCTTGGGTGATTATCTGGTGTGTTGTGATGAACTGTAGTTCCTCTATGAAATCGGGAGATTTCTGCAGGTGATGTTAATTGAGTGTGCTTGGTCTCTGTTTTTTTGGGGACAACGTGGGGATCATCCATCTGGTGGGTGATCTCATGAAAAAGATTGTCTTTATGTAGGCATAATCACGTGAGGAAAAGACCTCACCCTTTTCCTTCTCGTCTTAGAAGTCTAAGAGTGGAGAGTGTGATAGGCACATAGAATCTTGTCCTGGAAATTTTCTAGGATGAGATACCCTTATAAATTATTGCCTGTCTATGAGAGATTAGATTGAAGGGGTGGTAAATGAAAGTTTTCAAGTCAGACAATCATCATCAAGGTCAACTTGCTCTAGTTCCTCATATATTATTGCGGATGTTGTCGCTCATTGTTTGGTTTTTTGCGATGTTTTGGGGTTTCTAAATTGCGTCACCAAGCTGCTTGTGAATGTCTTCTGTCAAATGACATAGTTCTGGTTTGTATTGCAGTGCCTATGATACAGAACCTAGAGACGACTTTGAAAGCGGGAGCTGTTCCTCAAGTTCCACAATTTAGGCCTCCATCCTCGACCCCTGTTAGTAGCAGGTCCTTTGGCAGTACTCCTAGTGCACCCGTCAAGAAAACCAAAGCCACAGATGCAGATAAGAAACAGCAATCTGAGGAGTGTGTCAAGGAGTCTAATGATGAAAAAGCCCCAGCTGCAAGTGATTCTGCCGCGGCAAAAGTTGACCCTGTACTAGGAGATCCTCTTGGGGATGCACGGAGCAAGGTGCAGGAGGAGATCGCCGCAGAATTTGTGGCGATCATGGCGAGCGGAACGTTGCGCGCGAGTGAAGCTGCGGCACTTGCTACCAAGAGGGTGATGCAAAGATACGGACACATGAATGTCGCGATGTCGAGCTAAAAGAAATTTGAAAAACAAGGCGCATCATTATTACTTGGAAAAAGTGTGCTTAACTTCATCAGCTGATGCAGTCGACACAGTGATTGATTGTCATGAAAAACTGAATTGGTGGGCTCCACCCTGATGTAAACCGATTTCATTGTTTGAATCATTAGCAGAGACCTTTTCTTCATAAGTGCGCGGTTCAAAACACAGCGTTTGGAAAACACGAATGAACCATTGCATTTGCACCTCATGTTGTCTCCTGAGGCGTGTTTCTTTTAGCCCCCGGAAGAATGAAATGAAGTTGACTATCATTGTCCGTACGCTTTTCGAAATGCAAAGACAGGCACCTTTAAATTTGCGCTCTCAGCTTCTCTGCTTCCCTCTCCTGGCCAAAGAATAACAAGAAGACCTCAGCTGCCTTCAGTTAGGCTTTTGAGAAAAGCCGTTGAGTAAATGCAAAACACTTTCAAGTTGAAAAAGTTTTTCTTTTGAAATGCAAATAGTGTTTTATAAAGTGTAATTTAAAAGTGCATTGACTTTTTGGAACAAGCTACACTTGAAAAGGAATTTTGCTAATTTTTTTGGAACAAACTACACTTAGACTGATTGGAGTTCCCAAGACAGGGGCTTCAGTTAGAGTTAGACTGGGAATTGTTCTGAACCTGCGCCGCCATCTTCAATTACAAAGGATATTGCCAGACTGTTCTCGGCATCTTCCCAAACATCACTCGGGGAAGCGGGAGTGGTCAATGCGGCTCCATCTTCCGAACCGTCATTAGAGAGGACGAGAGCAGCAGAGCCATTGTCCAGCAGCCGCCCTGTTACCAACCTCAACATATAGTTTCGCAAGGTTCTCGGCTTTTTGAGTCTGAACTTGTGCTCCGGTCGATGTTGTTGGTTGAACCGGCCGGGGAGTTTGCAATGGGAATTGTAGCAATCTCCACAGAGATCAAAGCCAATCTTCTCGACACAATCCTGACACTGGTATCTATCCCCGATTATTGGATGCATCTGTACAAAATCCAACCCAATCAACTCAATAATACTGATTTGTCACTTCCATGAGTTAAAATAAAAATTTTGTTGGTAAAACTGAGGCCAAAAGTTTGATTACACCATCGACAGCAACAGGTTCGGAAGCAAAGACAGGGAGGGGCCAAAAGTACAGTACCACGCATTCAAAATATGCAGATTGCTAAGGAGAACTATAAACTTAGCACTTTCACATTAAAGCTGTTCGTTTCGTGGAAAACAACTTCCAAGAATATGTTTTCCAAATTTTCAAGTAAGCAATTATTGAACGACGGAAAATATTTTCTAGTTCATTTTCACGTTTTAGCTGAATACCGGAAAATAACTTCCTGGAAAACATTTTTCAGAAAGGTCACACTTTCAGCGAATCAAATGGAACCTAAATGTATTTTAAACGTTTATGTCACCAGTTATGAATGCTACTAAGCACATTGAATATATAATTCCACCACAGCTACAAAGCCTGCAAAACATGGAATCGATCCAAACTTATATGTCTGGGTGAAAAGATTTAAAAAGTTACAACAATGACAAAAGTTTTGATATCGAAACAAGATCATTTGAAAGATTAGTATAAAGTTCTAAATTGAACCACATTCGTGCCTAAATCCATAATCTTTTGCTTATATAAGAGAGAATCGCTTGCTATCAATTGAAGTTCAAGATAATTGAAATTCTTTCTTTCCATTCAGTAAATATATAAAAAAAAAAGCATTTTGCATTTTGATTAAGAGAGAGAGAGAGAGAGAGAGAGAGAGAGAGAGAGAGAGAGAGAGAGAGAGAGAGAGAGAGAGATGAAAAGCTTACCCCACAGTAATCGCAGCCAGCTCCCACATGGATCATCGCAGCATCATTTTTCAATGATGAATTTTTCTGTTGTTTATCACCTCTGTTATTACCTATCAACACAGCACCGCAACCATCGTGGCATCTCAAACAATTATAAATGGAAATGAATGATGATTGAAGCTACATGTCATGATGGTCTGCAAATAATCCCTTGAACTCTGAACTATATAAAAGGCAGAGCTGCAGAAAATACGAGATCTTGGGCTATCAATCTCTGAGATAGTCAGTCTAGGCCGTGCAGCTAATCTCCTCAAAGCATATTCTTCAGGAAACTGTTGCTCCAAAAAGTGATCCAGCTCCAAACAAACTTCTGATAATCCCCCAGGATGTCGGCTTTGACAAACTTGACATTTGATCATTTCATCAACTGGATTCACAATGCAAGATTCGCAATAGACTGGAAATCCAATCCGCATAAAAGAGGTATTAGGATGAATATAGTTTCTAATTTTATATTTGAAAAGAATTTCTGAACCTAGAAGACGCAACTAAATGTAAAGAATACCATGGCCGCAATTCAGAGCAACAGGATGAAAAAGCAATTGCTTGCATTCTGCACAGAGCACATCCGATACTGTAATCTGCTTGCAGCGTTTGTCTGAGCCAACTAGATGCCCATTCTCCTCTTCAACAGGTAGATCATGTTTTCGTTTCAAATCTTGTTTGGGACTGCTTGGACCGTTACCATCAATACCTGCAATGGGCTCTGATTGCACCTTACTTGCAAAGGTTTCACCATTTCTAGAAGACTCAGTGTCCATAGATGAGCTAGGGCCCAAACATGTCAGGCGTGATTGTGAAGAACCAGACAACTTTTGTTCTTCCTCATCGCTGGATCTCCACACAAGAGCATCAAACTGCGGAGAGAAAATTCCTCTGAAGCAGACAAAGGTTTTGGGGGGGGGGTGGGAGTGTGAGGATCTCAGAAAAAATCAACGTAGAATTATAATGACCAGTGGATCCGATGATCCTCATATCCATGATTAAATGGGACAAGAAAATGAAACCAAGCTTAAGAAGAAGCTGTTAGCAACCACCCTCAAAGGCACATACTCACACACCTCACCGGGTTGTTTAATTTCTTCGATATAGAAAAGGTGCAGAACTGATACTCATACAACAGAATAGGACAATCATTTAGAACTGCATGTTAAGACTTAAAGAATAGTACTTTAAGCATACACTCCAACACCCGCTGTAGTGCCACTGATACTTCTGAAAATTAAGTCCCCATTTAGTACATAGAACAAAATAGACATTGCGTGAGAAAACTATGGAGTTTATCTAAGTTAGAAGCGTTCAGTCCAAATATTATATAAGAACTAATTTGGAAGGGGAAGACAGCGATATGGAGTGAAAAGGTACAACCACAATGGTCGAGCAACGCCACTTGGTTTCTAAGTACATAATCAGCTAGCTAAACTTTGCTTCACGTGGCAATAAGACGTCCTTGACATAAGTAGATCATAAAATTTAATAAGTCATGCCAAGTCCTTTTCAAGGGCAATGTTGTTCTCCAGGTATTTTACATTAGCTAAGAGCAGTCAAGCGCACATGGAGAACTCACCTAATGTTAGTTTTTCCCTTCTCTTATAGGAATCAGGATACATCTTAAGCAACAAAAAGTGAAGTAACAGGCAGATGCTGGGGAAGTGAAGGTATGGTTGCCGACAAAGTGGGCATTTGGTTTCACGAAAACCACTCATTGATTGATGTACACACCAGAAACAGGAGATATTGTAACAGCCCGAATTTCGACGTAATTCCGGGATCAATAAAATTGACAATATTTCGCATTTCATTTTAGTAAGTCTCGCCTGCAGCTCGATCACTCTCTGGATACTAACCAATGGGGTATGGCTAACTAGGAAACGGTACGTGGATCTGGATTCGGAACTGAACGGGACACCGATCTCGAGATACGATGAGTGAATATTTTGGGCCAACGTGGGCCGATCTTAGGAAAGGTGATGGATTTGGTTTGGCCAAGGCCAACGATGTACAATCGGATCGCAGGTGATTCCGCAAGACCGAAAGTGCACGTGGCCAACCAGTCCTGAACCTGAACTGAACGATCGTGATATTTGGAACTAATGATAATTTCTCATTCTCTCAATGATCGGGACCGTCGTAATTCGAATAACCCTAGGTCGATACGTGTATGTCCTAAACAACCGTCCGTTAGTGAGAGACCCTGAAATTGGAAATTGAGCGAGTTTTGATCACGAAATTGGGCCTGGATTTCGATGTTGATTTTCGAAGGCTTAAGAGACTATTTTTGGGAATCTGACGTCATATTACGCTGGCCACACACGTTTGGAGTTAGTACGAGCAAAAAGTGGAATTTCGGTCCGGGGGTGAAAAATTACGGTTTTTGCCCCTGTGGGCATCGAGGCTGGATTCGGAGGCCGTTTGAGGTTATTTTTCGCGGCCAAGGTCATTTTGGGGTGGCCATGCACATTTAGAGTGGTTTTGGCCAAAAATTGGAATTTCGACAAAAATTGGAAAAATAATATTATTTTATTCCCGAAACTTCGCAGTCGATTTTCGAGGGCTTAGAAAGTGAATTTCGCGAATCCGACGCCATATTATGTTGGCCACGCACATATGGAACACGTATGTGCGAAAATTGGAATTTCGCCCCGGACCGGAAAATGACGGTTTTGCCCCGGGCCGTTTCGGGTCCGAATTTTTGGGAAATTTTTGGGATAAGTAACTGTGGTTATCAGCTGCATTATTGGCACCAAAGACCCAATTGCCCCTCAATTATTTAAGCCTATCTCTTTAGAACCGTTAGATTAGGGGCGTTTTGGTCATTTTTCACGGATCGGCGACACGTGGCACTTTGGGCTGCTTTATTTGACCAAGTTGGACTGTTTTCTCTCTCCTCAGCCCTCCCTCACGGCAGAACCAGCCCCCACCAGCAGCTTCTCTTCCATTTTCCTCTCTTTTTCTCCATTCTCTCTTGGTTTTGGCTTCGCCGGAGTTTGCCGCCGGCCACCGGAGTGCCGCCGCCGACCGCCGTGCCCCGCCGTCGACCACATAGTCCCCCAGCTTCAGCCTCGCCCCTGTCCAGCCCTTTTCTCTCTCCCTTTCTCTCTCTTTCTCCCTCTTTTTCTCTTTCCCGTCCGGCAAAAAGGGTCGCCGGAGCTTCGCCGGAGCTCGGATCGCTGTTCCGTCACCACCCAGCCGTCCAGCCTAGCCGTGCGTCGCCATCCAGCCCTGCCCGTACGGTGTCCGTACGGTACTGTTCATCGCGTCCGTACGGATCACTGTTCATCTCGACCGTACGGCCGTCGCGGCACTTTGCCGGCCACCGTCTTCCGCCCCGTCCGTACAAGTCCGTACCGCGTGAACAGTACGCTGTGAACAGTACCGTGAACAGTACCCCCGTGAACAGTACGCGCGTGAAAACAGTACGCGCCCGGGAATTCCGCCGCCGGTTTCACCGTTCATCAGTGATCGCCCGCCGTTCCTCGTCGTCGTGATCTTGGATTAAGTGAGTAAAATTCCTAAACCTGGATTAGGACTGTTAGTGCGTTTTTCCGGACTGGTTTAGGTATTATCGGTACAATTTAGACGGCTTAGATGTTATCAGTGTGTATTTCAGACTGGGTTGAGGACGGATTGGTAGAAATTATCATTGGGAAATTTAGTGGATTAATGAGAATTAATTGGGGAGATTAATTGGATTAAATGACCAATTTAGGAGCCCGTTGGAAAATTACCGGGTATGTCCGGTTGACTGATTGTACGTCAATTGTGCTTAATTGTTATTGATTTCGTATCTGCTATGTCGTATGTGGTGTGGCTGATTTTATGGAGTGCGATTGGCCATTGTTTGGTTTACAATGATTTACTGATTTGTGAATCGCACGTTAGGCCACACGGTATTAATTGAGCCAATTAAGCACGTGTTGTGACATTGGGTGTCTGAATTATAGTGGTGCTCGTGGTGCATTGCATTGCATAACATGGACACGCATTGCGTATGCCAAGAGTGATGCATGTGATGAACTTGCGCGAGGATGCGTGTCTGCCATGAGCATGTGATCACCTAAAATACCCTGAAGCATTATACGCTGGGTTTAGATAATAATGAATTGTGTGATCACCTAAGGACCTTTGGGTCATGACCTTCGGGTCGATACCGTCCTCATGCACTTTGAAGCGGGACGATGCCCGTGACGTCCGAAGGCGACCATCCTCATGCACTTTGAAGCAAGCTCCGTTCGCAGGAGAACAGTGTTGCGCCTCATGCACTTTGAAGTGCTAGAGACACCGGGCCAGATCGGTTGCGCGCCTCATGCACTTTGAAACAGTAGACGCACCGGCCGTGAAAAGTTGATGACTCGAGTCGTAATAAATAATAAATTGGGCGATTGCCGTGTGCTGCAGGGCCAAGTGGGCCGGGAAATACACGTGACATGTCGACGACATTTGCATGCATGAACATGCATGGACTGGCATGCGAATGTGTGAGCCTCGGTGCATGAGCATGTGATTGGCGTACGTGTGATAATATGTGTCATGTACGTGCCGTGATTATTATATATTGAACTGCCTAACCTGCAGGGTCGGAGGATTATTTGATTGTTGTTGCACTATGGTTTCACATATTTATTTTCCGGTCAGGAGATTGCATGCTAGCCTAGTCTAGGTTTAGGGGTTTTGAACTCACCGAGATTCGTCTCACTTGGCCCAGTAAACCGAAACATTTCAGCACCCTACCGTAGGATGCCGAGGAGAGCGCCTCTTTTTGGTATACCGCAATTCATCCAGCGGTCATCTAGTGTGCACCCTTGTGGGGATGGACCTGCAGCCATGGTCGAGGAAGCTGAGGAGCCGAAGTGTTTTTCATTGACCCCTTTTGACTGAGTGGCTGCTGACTGTGTGTTTCCTCTGCTGTTGTCTAAATGAATTGTGTAAAAAGTTTTCTTTGATACTACTAGTATACATACTTTCAGAGGTGTTGTTTGCTGGTTGTGCTACCTTGGCCTCATGTATTTTATTGTCAGGGTTTATATATATATATATATTTATATACGTACTTCCGCTTGTGCTTGATCTCTGTTTGGGTTTGGGTCGGCGACGCTTCCTGGGAGCGTTGCACCTTAATCGACCGTGACGGGATGTTGCGCTTCGTGGGGTACGGGGCGTGACAGATATGGCCACAAGCTGCATCAAAGGAAACCAGTAATTTGTTAATAAGCGGATAGAGAACTTCCGTGTATGTGGAAAAGAGAAGCTCCTTACGTAATACGACTGGCTTGTAAAGAAGGTCCCTGCAGCAGGATGAGAAAAGATTGGTGAAACTGGTTCTCCCAAATATAAAAACATATAGCTGCTCAAATAAGGACACAAGTGACATTAAGGTGACATATGAAAAACGAAAAAGAAAATGACAGGACCCAAACCCGATGTCACAGATACAGGTTCAGGCATTGCATGGCGCGATTTCTTAGAGGATGATCCTCATTGTTGCGACTAAAATTTACTTCTTATGCTGTTTACATGAGTAGTTTAGAAACTAGACCTTCATATTGAGTGACAAATTATATTATTTTAACAAAAACCTCATGATTTGCATTTGAAAAGATGGGAGAAGACATAGAAGCTAATCGTTTAAACTGAGAAAGCAGCAGCTAACTTTATTCGGAAAACACGACCACGAAATTGAGAACATCAAAAAGAACCCAAGGGAGGAAAGAAGTCCACCGCCAATATGATGAGACTGCCATAGCCAAAGTCTCAACTTCTGTAACAGCAAGATCCAAAAAGTACACCAAGAATAAAAGCCATGCCAGTCACCGCAGATTTTGGATCATTATTATCTAGGCATTTCAGCTAGAAATTATCAGATGAAAATCCTGTTCGCAATTAAAGAAGACACAAGGAAAGCGTAATGAAACCAGCAATTGAAGACCAAACTATGCAATTCAAAAATCAGCATCCAGAGGACAATCATCATTTCATACCCTCATTAGAGAGACGGCGCGAATGATGCTCCATGACATAGAAGAAAGGCACAATTTACAGTCAAAGATCATTTCCCGTTACCGCAGCTCTCCATCAAAATCTAGCTTTTAACTGAAGACCACATCCTATACAGCGCCGATTTTAACCCCCCATTTCTAGAGCTCGATCGAGATGCGCTCGACACACCTGAGCGAGAAAGCCAAAGCTAAATGCCTTCTTGCATCAGTTCATTTTTCCCCTTTCCCCGTCCGTGTTACTTCAGCGTCAATAAGCAACCTGATCATCGCCCAACACAATACCAATTGCGCTACTCGCACACAGAAAAACATAATCTCTTGCGAAAACCGCAAGACGCAATCGCATACATACGCGCAAACGAAATTAGCCTAATTCGCACGAAACCACGGGCTGCCGCAAGCTACGGACACGCGATTACACCGAAATCCTTCCATCTTCCAACAAGAACCGAGGCATACAGCCTTGCTACGCGTTGATCGGGGAAAGAGAAAGAGCGGAAAAAAGAAAGAAAGAAAGAGGAGAGAACGCTCACAGGCAAACGCAGCAAGTGAAAGATTCGGAGATTGGCTCGGGCTCGCCGTCTTCTACAGCCACCCATCGATCCTCCATCTTTTCGAGCCGGACTCCTCCAACCGAGAGCGCGAAGCTCGACGGCGACGAAAGGGGAAGAGAGGGCGAAGAAGAAGGAGGGATCGGAGGAGGCTGTGGAAGAAGATAGACCTCGAGGTCGAGAGATCGAGGAGATTTCAGATCCTCTTCTTCTTTTGCCTGATCAAGAACATGAGTTCACCAAGAAAAGCATGATGCTATATCCGTGACTAGATTGCTGCTCTGCTATATGGTATGGATTTGCCATATTATATTGGTCCACTAATTGGACCTAGGCCCATTTTAAATGCATTCGATTCGAATTAAATGCAATTAGGAGCATATCCTAAAAAAATTCCTTGTCGGGTCAATAAAATCATGAAAAACATTTTAATTTATTTCTCTTTTACATATAATAATGGATTTGCCAGGACCAATGCATGATTTTCTTTTAGGTTTTTTGGGATCAGGTCTTATATTAGGCAGTCTAGGAGTGGTATTACTTACCAATCCAATTTATTCTGCCTTTTCCTTGGGATTGGTTCTTGTTTGTATATCCTTATTTTATATTCAATCAAACTCCCATTTTGTAGCGGCTGCATAGCTCCTTATTTATGTAGGAGCTATAAACGTTTCAATTCTATTTGCTGTGATGTTCATGAATGGTTTATAATATTACATAGATTTGAATATTTGGACCGTTGAAGATGGGATTACTTCATTGATTTGTACAAGTATTTTGGTTTTACTAATGACTACTATTTTGGATACATCTTGGTACAGGATTATCTGGACGACAAAGTCAAACCAGATTATCGAGCAAGATTTGATAGGTAATAGTCAATAAATCGGAATTCATTTATCAACAGATTTTTTTCTTCCATTTGAATTCATTTCCATAATTCTTTTAGTTGCTTTGATAGGTGCAATTGCTATTGCTCTGCCGTCAACTACAAGGTGCTGCTGATGACAGTACGCGTACTGGTGTTTGGCTTGCGTACGTACATGCCCGAACGCGGGTACGATGTTGCTTGTCCTAATCGTCCGCCCAAGAAAATTAACGAAATGTTTTGTTTTTTAATCAAAAGAAAGGGAAAAGTGCTAAATAAGTCCTAGACCTTTTGGGGGTAGTGCCAATTTAGTCCTAAACCTATTTTCGGTGCCAATTGAGCCCTAAACCTTTTGATATAGTGCCAATTCAATCCTTTTGGCCAGATTTTGTTGACGTGGACGTCGGCCGGCGATGACGTGGATAAAATTTAATAACATTTTAATATTTTTTTGAATTTTTTTCTTCTCCCTCTTCCTTCAGCTGCTCACCGGGGCGGCGATCAGTCGGAGGCCAGAGGCCGACGAGGTCGATCTCGGGCAAGCCACGTCGGCCACTGGTGAGGCTCGCCCTCACCGGGCCCTCGCCATGGCCGGGCGAGGTCGACTTCGCCAGATTCGATGTGGTCAGGCCTCACCCAGCCATTGGCAAGGCTCGCCCGGCCCTCGCCAGAGGTCGCGGCAAGCCTCGCCATGGTTGGGGGAGGCTCGACCTCGCCGGATCCGGCGAGGTCCAGCCTCGCCCAGCCGCCGACGAGGTCCAGCCTCGCTAGTGGCCGGCGTGGCTCGCCCGAGGCCGGCGAGGTCGACCTTGCCAGCCTCTGGCCTCCAGTCGGTCGCCGCTCCGGCGAGCGGCTGAAGGAAGAGGGAGAAGAAAAAAAAATTTAAAAAAATATTAAAATATTATTAAATTTTGTCCACATCAACGTCGGTGACCGGTCGCCAGTCGGTCGACGTCCACATTAGCAAAATCCGGTCAAAAGGACTGAATTAGCACTATATCAAAAGGTTTAGGACTCAATTGGCACAAAAAATAGGTTTATGACTAAATTGGCACTACTCCAAAAGGTTTAGGACTTATTCAGCACTATTCCCTCAAAAGAAGTAACTAAATGGTAAAGTTCAGCAAATGAGCACAAAAATTAAGGACGCGCGTGATAATCATTCCGATTCTCTTATTTTTTTTTTGTTCTCAGGAATAGGTTCGGTATAGGAATTTATTTAGTAACGCAATTTTATTTTTTTATTTCTGGAATTTTTAGTTTGAAAATAGGTTTGGAACATAAATGAGAAGTAAAAATATTATACTTTTCTATTTATGGAACAAAAGGATAAATAAAAAATCTTCTCATCGCTCGCCTCACCTCTTGCCGCTTGTCGCACATGGCCACTGCCTTGCGCGGCCACTGCCTCGCTAATCGTTGTCGCCGGCCGTCGACAGGTGCCCGCCCGCCGATCATTGTCACCCCTTGTCGGCTTCCCGCCACCGGTTGCCGCCCGTCGATGAATGGAAAAGATCATAAGAGGGAGAACTTTTGTGTCGTTATCAAACGAATTTTTGTTCCGAAAAGAGAAATTTCGTATGGTTATCAAAAGTGTATTTCTGTTTAAAAACTTGTCTAGAGAATAGAGATAGAAAATTCGTTAGCAATATATTTTTATAACAGAATAGTTATTATCATTCGCGTCCTAAATCTGATCTGTCGGATAACGTGACCTCAGAAAGAAAACTTTAAAAATCAATTTTCTAAGGTAAACCTGCTCATCCACAAAAAAGAAGTTAACCTGCTCGGGATTCTGGAATATCAAATTTACATAGCAAGAATACTACGAAGAATAGGCTATATCTAATTTATGTCATGACTTACAAGTAATGTACCAATATAATGAATACATACAAGGTAATAACTTAAACTATAAATTCTCGGACGAACGTTCATGGTTTGGTGTCTTCCTAGATGCATCTGCAGATATCTGTAAGCGCATCTCTACGTACGCGAAATTCTAAAGATCCTGCTTTAATCTTTAAACATGAGAAAGAGAACCATGTTCCTGGAGATCTTTTCACTGCAAGATATGAAAATATAATGAAACCCCCGGATAGAGAAAATGCCGGTATTCACAGCAGTGTATGTAGAAAAAAGTTTCACCATAAAAACTGCCGCTGAGTGAGCTCACCTTGCACCGCGAGTTGAAGCCCCATTCAATGGCTTCCGCAACTGCGGGCTTGTGCTCTGCCGTGCCGGTGGCCTCCTCTGCCTGGTTTGTCCTATCTCCGCCCCTCACGTTGTGATCAGACTGAGGATATTGCGTGTGGGCCGTTACGGTTCCTGCTCCGGGGCCTAACCAGAGGTAGCTCAATGCAGTCACAACGCCGGTCATTAAGGGTCGGACCGCCACTTCTTCGTTGAGGCACATCGCGGCCACTGCAATTGCCTGGTTCAGGCCTCTCAAGGGAAAGTCACTGTTTAGGAGCGGATCCGCCAATTCTGGGTATCTGCGAGGGTCCTTAAAAACGGGTTGTGCCTGTTTTGAGCCAAAATGAGAGAGAAACTTCGCTTCAACAGATTTCATAAAAAGTTGAGGAAGAAATGGACACTGGTGTGCATTGTTGGCCACGAAAATGGCACTCCCAGGATCACCATAATCAGAAACCGAAACACGATAATGGAGAAATTGTCGATTCACGTACCTGGTTTGGAATCCATCGAACTTGACGCGGAATTTGCGACGGTTTCCGAATACAAACTCAAGTTCTTCTCCCCTATACCTTTCGTTAGAACACTGGCCTAATGAGATTGCCACTCATAAGAAGAAAGTTCTCTCTAAATCCGTATGTGAGTCAAATTGTACATCGTCAGGTTAGGGGAGGGACTTGAGCGCTATTTATAGAGTTTTCGACCACGGGTCCTTTCATTACGGGCCGGGCCGTACTCAGCCCATACCAGCCAGCCCCATGTTAGACTGATTAAAAACCCATATATCTTATCTTTATTAGATCAAACTAATTCAGTTAATTTCAATTAATGAAGCCCACATTAGGAAATTCTTATATTCTCCCACTTGGGCGATATTAATTGAAACAGAACTGTGTGCGCACCCTTATATTAGTCTAAAGATTATTCTTAATAGTCAATTCGATCCCATAAATTCGTGAACACCGAATCATGGCGGTAACTGCATGTACTCACGCAGAGCCTTCCATGGTCATGAGTGCTTTCAACTTTACTGATATGGATTCAATATTATAGTGTGTCAAATGGACAATACCTCATAATGAGTGATACTTCATGTGTTGTCCATTTTGTTAGTATAAATTCTCTCTCCTTAAGTGTCACAAAACCTAGTGTGTCACCAGAGAATATCCTTTATGGTTCCAACGAACCTGTATATGTCTTACCTTGATAGTTAACTGTACTTTATGTGTAACAAGATATATCGTTAAGGCTAATACTAAGAATGCCCCATAGCCTGTACTCAAGGTTTACACAGTGCCTTGAGATTTTTATCAAATATATGTACTCAACTTGATAAATCTACATCCACAAATACCTCATTGAATGCAAAAGAGTTGATAGATATTCAAATATTACAAAATGTAACGAAATCAGATACAAACTTCATAAGAGCAACATAAAACTAAACAGCTCCCACTAATTAACAGTATCCCATGATACTCCTAAGCCCATGTTAATGACATGTCGATCAAATACACAAGGGCGAAGGCCTTTATTTAGCGGATCTGCAATCATATCATCTGTTGAAAGGTGCTCTACTGCAATGTCACAATCTTGAACTTTTTCCTTTATAGTTAGGTACTTGACCTTCATATGCTTAGACCCCTTGAGACCTCTGTTATTGTTAACAAACAACACTGCAGAATTATTGTCACAATACAACTGTATGGGCCTATCCACAAAATCAAATACGGTCAACTCCTTAATGAGGTTTCGAAGCCAAATTGCCTGAGTAGAAGCCAAAAAGCATGCTACAAACTCCGCTTGCATGGTAGAGGATGTCATTGATTTCTGTTTCTCACTTTTCCATGATACTGCACCTCCTGCTAACTTAAAGATGTAACCCGTTGTCGACTTCTTTTCATCCTGATAGCCAGCAAAGTCTGAATCCGAATACCCAACTAGCTGTAGGTCCTGAACATGTTTGTAAATCAGCATATAGTCTTTTGTCCTCTTTAAGTACCTCAAAACCTTTTTGGCAGCAACCCAATGATCGTGTCCTGGATTTGACTGATATCTGCCTAGAAGTCCTATTGCAAAAGCAATATCTGGTCTAGTACATACTTGAGCATACATGATACTCTCAAGTGCACTAGCATAAGGTACATTCTTCATTTGGGCTTTCTCAAAATCTGAATGAGGATATTGTGACAGACTCAACTTATCACCCTTACAGGAGCAATTCCTGGCTTACATTGTTGCATGTTGAATCTTTCTAAGATACGATCAACATATGGCCTCTGAGATAAACCCAATAATCGGCGAGAACGATTCCTATGAATCTTAATGCCAAGGACAAAAGACGCCTCACCAAGGTCTTTCATATCAAAGTTCTTTGACAACATCCGCTTTGTCTCATGCAGTAAACCAATGCCATTGCTCGCAAGCAGGATATCATCCACATAGAGTATAAGGAAAATGAATTTCCTCCCACTGACCCTGCAGTATATACACTGATCTACTTTGTTCTCAACAAAACCAAATGAAGCGACAACACTATGAAACTTCAAGTACCATTGTCTAGAAGCTTGCTTGAGACCATAAATAGACTTTTTCAGTCTACATACAAGCGTACTTGAATCATCTGCCGCAAAGCCTTCGGGTTGCATCATATAGACTTCTTTATTAAGGTCTCCATTGAGAAAGACAGTTTTAACATCCATCTAGTGTAACTCCATATCAAAATGAGCTACTAATGCCATGATCACTCTGAAAGAATCTTTAGAAGAGACTGGAGAAAAAGTTGCTTCATAGTCTACTCCTTCTCTTTGAGTAAAACCCTTGGCTACTAGTATGGCTTTAAACTTCTCAATCTTTCCTTTAGAGTCCCTTTTAGTCTTATACACCCATTTGCAGCCAATGAGTCCATGACCTTCAGGTAATTCAACAAGTTCCCAAACTCCATTATGCTTCATAGACTGCATTTCATCTCTCATTACATCCAACCACAGTTCCGACTGAGGACAAGAAACAGCTTCTGCATAAGTCACTAGATCAGCTACATGACCGATATCGTAGTCTTGCTCTCCTATATAGACTAAATAGTCTGGTGGTATAGCTGATCGTCTCTCCCTAATGGATCTCCTTACTGGAGCAACAACAGCCTCATCCTGCACCTGAGAGCCTTGAGAAACTTCATTAGGAGCTGTCTCGACAACGGGATCCTGAGCCTCAATAGATTCAGTCTGTGGTGTGGGAATCTCCACAATTATTTATATGGGAGGAGATAAAGATACAATATTACCCACCGTACTATTATCCTCAATATTCTGTGAGCAACTACTTTTTTCGGCCACATCAAACTTCAGAAACTTGGCTGTCTGTGATTCCACAATTCTTGTGCCTCCATTGGGATTATAAAATCGTTATCCTTTCGAATGATCCGGGTAAGATACAAAGTAACACCGAGTGGTTCTGGAGTCCAACTTACTTAATGTTGGATTATATAACTTCACTTCTGCGGGACATCCCTAAACCTTAAGATGGTTTAAGCTAGGCTTACGTCCAGTCCATAACTCAAAAAGAGTCAATGGAACAGCTTTAGTAGGTATACGATTCAAAATGTACAAAACTGTTTTCAAAGCTTCACCCCACAAAAAATTAGGTAAATTTGTACTACTAATCATACTTCTCACCATTTTCATAAGAGTGCGATTGCGCCTTTCGACTACACCATTTTGCTCAGGACTCCCAAGCATAGTGAACTGAGCCACTATCCCATAATCCTCTAAGTATTTGGCAAATGGCCCCTTAAGCTATCCGGCATCGCTATGCTTGCCATAATACTCTCCACCTCGGTCAGATCTAACAACCTTTATGACTTTTCCCAACTATTTCTCAACTTCAGTCCGAAAAATCTTAAACTTGTCAAGAGACTCAGACTTTTTTTTAATCAAGTACAAATAGCCATATCGAGAATAGTCATCAATAAATGTAATGAAATAAAAATTTCTACACAAGGTTGCCGTATAGGGTCCACTTATATCAGTGTAAATGACCTCCAACAGGTCAGAACTTCGGACTGCAGTTTTCTTCCTTATCTTGGTCATTTTACCTCTACAACAGTCCACGCATGTCTCTAAGTCATCTTTAAGAGCCGGCAGGTTGTCATTCTGTATCAGCCTTTCTACTCTATCCTTAGAGATATGACCAAGCTGTTTATACCACAATGCATAAGACTGTTCCTTAGGTAGTGGTCTCTTGGAAACAACATTTTCAGCCGTATAAGCGACGTATATGTCATTGGGAGACAAACACAATCTATACAATCCGTTGGACATATAACAGCACCCAACCTTATTTGAATTAAGAAACAAAGAAATAACATTGTTCTTGATTTCAAAAGAGTAGCCATGCATGTCCAAACACGATACGGAAACTAAGTTCCGTCTAAAAGAAGGTACATAAAAAGTGTCTTTCAACATTAATCTAAAACTAGAGTCTAGAATCAATATAACATCTCCCACAAACACAACATCAGCTTTCTCGTTGTTTCCCACAGTGAGTCTTGACTCATCCTGATTTGGCTTCCTCCGGTTTATGAATCCTTGTATGGTAAACGCAACATGATTAGTTGCACCGCTATCGAGCCACCAAGAACTGGATGGTGCTTTTGATAGGTTGGATTCGCAAACAAGTGCCAAAGAATCATTACCTGTAGGCTCACTTTTGGACAACCAAGCTTTGAACTTTCCACAGTCCTTCTTTATGTGACCTTTCCTTTTACAAAAGAAGCAGCAGTCATCATCCCTTTTGAAGGATATTTTCTTTGGACCCATATAGTCCGATTGACCGGTAGTGTCATGAGCACCTTTGTGAGTACGATTTCTGGACTTCTTATTCTTTCTTTTGTGGGAACTAGAAACATATAAGGCTAGATGCCCTTTTTCCTTCTTAAGTTTCTCTTCCTCTGCCACCACCCTTGCTATCAAGTTATTCACTGACCAAGTCTCATATTGGGAATTGTAATTTGTCTTTATAATCCCAAAATCAGGTGGAAGGGTATTCAAAGCTTGATGCACAATACAAGCATCAGGAATGGAAACATTAAGAGCTTGAAGCTTTGTCTTTAGGTTTACCATCCTAAGGACATAATCTCTAACCCCAGCATTACCATCATACTTCATATTGAAGAGCTTTTGAAGAAGTGTACCAACCTCAGCATTAGATGAAATGCGGTTTTTAGCCTCTAAGGCTGCCATCATTTCCTTAGCAGTACAGTCAGCTGGCAAACCACTTTTTAAGTGTTCTTGAATGGATTTCTTCATTGTCAATAAGCAAATCCGATTGCTCTTTTCCCAAGTAGCATAGTCCGTTTTCTCAGCTTCAGTACTGGTGGCCGAGATATTGGCCGGCTTATCCTTTGTAAGAGCAATGTGAACATCCGCCAGCTCCATTCCAAATAGAAAATCCTCTTTCCATTTCTTAAAGTTCAACCCAGTAAGGACCTCAATGGAAATGGAATTGCTGTTTACAGAAAAGGTGACTGGAAAACAAAACAAATAATACAATCAGCATCATGTGAGTACTTATCTAGAGAGTTACATACATCATCACATAATTACCTTTGGGCAGAAAATATGACATGCAGTTGTACACTCTCCACATGACAGAGGCCATGAGAACATATTCTAATCTTTCGTGAAATCACCACCTTTGGATGTATGAACCACTAAGATCAGTCATTTCTCAAGCACATGCTATACATGTACCCCTCCATGAACCAGTACGAGATTACCTCCTTTGGGAGTATAATCACGCAATAGAACTGGAGACATCCCACCATAATATGAGACCGATATTTCTCAAACCCAGTCAAGTGTGCTACTTTGGCGGTCACTACCCAACTGAATCCTTGAAAATCTCTCATACCAGGGATATGAACTTTATGTATCACATTCACTATATACATGTAATGCTAGACGTAAAGAAAGGGGCGTATGTCTTTGAAATTACATGTCATGCTAATTATATTATTCCATTCATTGATAGACAATGAATTACACTCTACATAGTCCTTATGTGGTGATATACATGTGAGCTACCATATGTATTTCCGAAACCATAGAGAAATACAAGAAAATAAGCAATAATACCCTAAAAATACGCGTATATAGGGTTGTATACGTATTTTCACATATGTAAAAGCTTAAAATATATAAAATAAATACACCACAGTGTAGAGAATCTCGATACGAGTGCGAGAACGTCTAAAACGGACGTCGGACGCGCCCTCACGTGCCGCCGAAAGGCGCGGTGCGTGCGCGCGTGTTCAGCCGGTCAAACCGGTCTGAATAGCCGGTCCGACTGGTTGACCGGTCCAACTGGTCAACGTACTAGTCCGACCGGTTGACCAGTCGGGTCAACGGTCGGGTCGGGTCAACAACCGGGTTGGGTCAAGATTCGGGTCGGGTCAAGATCCGGGTTAAGCCAGATCCGCGCCCTCGCTGACGTTAGCCTACGGTTACCGGCGGAAAGACGCACCAGTTCGGCACGGCCGCATGTGGTCGTCACGCGCCGCCGCGCCTAGGGCGCGTGTTGGCGCATGACGGCGCGTCCGACCTCCTTCGGCGACGTGCCGCCCACCATTCTTCTCGTCTCGACGAGTAGATTCCAAATATGTAATAAAATTTAACTTTCATCCGACAAAAAATTTCGAAACTGGGCAAAAACCTCTCAGACAAAACGAAAACGGTCCTAATCCACATGTTTCAGTTCTAATCTATGGCAGGCTCTGATACCACATGTTGGCCACGAAAATGGCACTCCCAAGATCACCATAATCAGAAACTGAAACACGATAATGGAGAAATTGTCGATTCACGTACCTGGTTTGGAATCCATTGAACTTGACGCGGAATTTGCGACGGTTTCTGAATACGAACTCAAGTTTTTCTCCCCTATACCCTTCGTTAGAACACTGGCCTAATGAGATTGCCACTCACGAGAATAAAGTTCTCTCTAAATCCATATGTGAGTCAAATTGTGCATCATCAGGTTAGAGGAGGGATTTGAGCACTATTTATAGAGTTTTCGACCACGAGCCCTCTCATTACGGGCCGGGCCGTACTCGGCGCACACCAGCCAGCCCCATATTAGACTAATTAAGAACCCATATATCTTACCTTTATTAGACCAAACTAATTCAGTTAATTTCAATTAATAAAGCCCACATTAGGAAATTCTTACATGCATTTCAAATTGACGATAGTTTAGAATGAGCTGCGTGCAATGATCACTCAACTTGTCGAACTGTTTTCGCGCTAATTTGCTTCTCAAGCTAATAAAATTGGACGAAAGTATATACGGATGAAGAATACCATTGCGAGATTAATCCTAATGAAAACAGATAGTGCTGCCACATTCGTACGCCGAACTTCGACCCCCCCAAAAAAAATTCCTTACCCAAGTGACTAGATTTTGCTCTTCTGTCGGCTGGGTGATGTCGATGGCTCTCCTTCCGGTGATCAACTCCAAGAGGACAACGCCGAAGCTGTACACATCCGACTTCACAGAAAGCTGGCTCGTGCTCTGATACTCCAGGGCACAGTAGCCGTAAGTACCCACCACTCTCGTAGACACGTGCTGTTTGTCCCCCACTGGACCAAGCTTGGCCAGCCCGAAATCGGAGAGCTTCGCGTTGAACTGGCTGTCCAGAAGAATGTTGGAGGGCTTCAAATTACGGTAGATGACCGGGGGGTTTGCCTTGTCGTGCAGATACTCCAAGCCCTTAGCCACTCCTAGAGCTATCTTCATTCTTGTGAACCAATCTAATGGCTTTTGGTTTGGCCCAAGAACTGAATTGGAGCATAGGAACATAAGTGGTTGTTTTGAAACTAAATCTCTTGAAACTTGTTTCGGCATACGAGTTTCCAAGAACGATGGCCAAAACCTACACTCGATATCAGTACACAAGCTGATTTGGTTTGTAAATATCTAGAGACCACGAAGGCTTGAGAGCAGAGGAAAATATTTGAATACATTGTGAGGAAAAAATATCTTTAAAAGTTCTTGAAAAAGTTCAGACAGTCCAATAATGCTTGATGAATGCGAAGAAAGTATGTAGTACCGAGCAGATGGTCTTCCAAGGAACCGTGCGGCATGTACTCGAAAACCAAAAGCCTCTGCTCGCCCTCAGCGCAATAGCCGACGAGATCCACCAAGTTCTCATAGTGCAAAGTGCTCAGCATCAACACCTCCACAAGCAACTCTCTGTTCCCTTGCAAGCCGTTCCGGTCGAGTTGTTTCACAGCCACGACCTGAATGTTTGTTTGACATCAGTCCCTGTTTATATGCCAATTGATTATAGTAGTCATTAATTTTTCTTTTAAATTTTTGGGGCTTGTATTCACCGGCCCGGTTTTGTCGAGCCTTCCCTTAAAAATTCTCCCGAACCCGCCTACCCCGATCAGGCATTCCTGCCTAAAGTTCTCCGTGGCCGTGGCCAGTTCTTGGAAGGTGAATGTTTGCACCGCAACGTTGTCGTTGCCGCCTGCTTCTTTAGGAGTGTCCTTCTCCGGTGCGGTCTCAATTAGCGGTTTCGGCTCATTAGTCTCTGCACGACACAGAAATATCAATTGCTAACAGCAAAAACTCAAAAGAAAACTCCGCCTAAGTGAGTCCTGCCTTCTGCGTGCCTCGGCATCCATCCTGGTCATTTACTAGTTCGAGTCTCACGACCAGACGTGCACAATTTCAACAATAAGACAGGCCCAAAAAAAGAGAACAAAGAATTTGGCACAATCCTTTAAGGTTAGAAGTGCTACTGCAGAAAACAGATACGTAGTGAATTTTTTCAATAGAATTTCACACATCACTTGCTGGCATGCTGCACAATAATGGAGAAGAAATAGTTTCATTTGAAGGGTTGAACAGTAAGTAAGCGAGCTTCAAAGCTTGAGCGCTAATTCTCCAAAAAGATGGCGACGTGATCCTATATGCACTTACCGGTCCGTGGTGGAGCCACGCTATTGGAAGCTACCTCCTTCTCACGGGACGAAGAGCATGAAAAGCAACTCATCTCTCAGTCTGGTATGGTGACGATGAGCAGCACTCGTTGATCTTGAATTCAAGGATATCGGAGATAATATCACACATATGTTGAATCTAGTTCGTTTTAGGTGTTGGAAACCATGGAATGGAGCAACCCAGAAACATCAATTCAACTTGGTTCCTCAAGTCGGATCAATCTGCCGCCCACTCCATGATCGTGACAGGATAAAATACAGACAATAGAGAGAGTTCGAACTTGGACGGTAACCTCCATAGACTTTTATCTCAACGCGCTTTCAGTTTCCACATCATAAGCTTTAGTCCTCGTATTCTGCCGGCTAAAATCAAGGGCTAATTCCAAAAAAAAAGAAAAGCAAAAACTTTACATTGAGTGATAAATCTAGATTGAACTTTGCACCAATTTTTACTCGAGTCCCAAATCTAGCCCCTGTGATGTAAAATTTTCAAATTATTCGGGTCAGATTTGAGATTTAAGTGAAGTTGCTGATTTTTTATGAGACAAAAAAAAATTCGGGCAAGAATTGTCATTCAAGATATAATTGGTGGTTTTTTTTTTTGGAATTAGGCCTTAAAATCACTCGTGCAAGCCCGTACTAACCACAGATCTTGAAAAGGCCAGTTTCGTTATGCTTTTAGGCTTGGGTTTTTCCTGGTTTTGTCGATCTACTTTGGGCTCAATTGAGCTGCACCGTGGTGAACACCAAGACGACTTTTGCATTTCACCTTTTCAGATGTTGCGACTCTTTAAATGTCTTATTAGTGGACATCTATTTAAACCAAGGTATTCTAAGCCCTTTTAAAGATATATCAATGCCTATATAGTGAATTACGTACTTTGTATTTGAAAGATGTGTTTATACTTTAGCTGGATAAACAAGTTTTATGAAAAAGTATGCATGAAGTACTATTGGTATGTTATCAACAGAAGAGCAGCTCGAGAGACCTAAAAGACAAATGGGCGAGTTTGGATAATATTCTTATTTTGAGAAGAGCTGACCCACTTAACATTAGTCGGTTCCCGATCCTGGCCCGGGCATTTGTGTGCACTTTTGTACCGTGATCAGGCTTGAATGGATATGATGCATGTCGTGCGTATCTATGGCACAAAGCAAAGCTTCACTCGCGCACCAACACATTCAACCAATGATTGAAATAGGTGCTTCGAGGGTGCCACGCGTTTTTGGAGTATCATAACAACCCCAAAATTGGAGATGTGTTGGAAAGCATAGCTCGAATTCTAATCGGAGATCAAGATGAGAGGCTCTTCATAATTACTGAAAATCCATTAAATGACCAACATTTATTTAGGCAGTACATAGTTCTTCAAGCACAATAGTTCAATCGAAAACCGTATATCATCGCTTCATCTGAGATTCACTGTTCCAAAGATTGATCGAGCTCATTCTCTTTAGCGTGCTCCTACTCTCATATCTAAATGTACACTGGCCCTAAATGACTGGTGAAGACTTCTTGACTGAGATCGAGAAGACATTTTGCATTCTTTCAGAGCATAAGCAATTCCATGTGCGCCTGACTTATAACCACAACAATGGAGAGAGTCGCATGGAGTAGCTTACGGATGGAGTCATACACCGGGAACGAGAAGTTAATGCTCCTTTAAGAACTTTTCCTTTGAACAGTGGGGTTGTATATCGTTACATGAAGAATTGCATTGTAAGCTCAGGAACCTCGTGCTAGGAAACTGCATCAGATTTCTCAGCATGCAAAAGCAGCATGGTCTTGGTTACCGATGTCTTCATTTTCGAGATCAACACTGGCTTCTTTTGATCTGCTGAAAGCATCGGAATGTATATTGATGCCTGCAAATCCCATCATGACCGCAACAGCGCCGAGGTAATCCATGAGATGAGGTGCATTGCCAGTCAGTGAATCCACAACAGCTGCCAATGGAACTCGTATGGTAAGACCAGCTGCTGCGACGGTGGTGCTAGTCAGAAGAACGGCCTTGGCCCACAAGCAATCGCTCAGCACATTATCTAACAAACCTGAGTATGAATAGGGAAAGGGGAAAGGAAGCAGATTAGTTAGTTTGAACTTCCAGCATATTTGGCAAATCCAACAGCTCTAACTATAGATCAACAGAATTCCAAATCAAATGTCGTCAGGTAGAAGATATTATCTCTCCGTCCACAAGAAGTCAAATGTAAGCATGTGTGTGAGTTACTACACTGGCAACTACAAAATCATTGCTCTTCTATCCCTTCATTTGAATTAAATCATTGAGATCAATTTTGGAGGGCCATGATCATCTTTGCCTCAAAAAAGGTTTGCAGTTGAAGGATAAAGCTCCCATTTGCAAGAAAGCAGATATTGCTATATTTTAAAAAAATAATCTGGCTGAGTAACTCTATCAATTAAGTAATCAAAATCCCAAATAAAAGCTGAATCCATCATGCAGCTGTCCCGTATTCCATTGTTAGTATGCCAGCAATCTGAGTCTAGTTCGTGGTAATTGATAAAATGCTAAGTCAAAAATAGTACTTCTCCAGATCCTTTATCAGAAATTCATCAGTTCCATCCAAACCCAACCATCAGCTCCTTCCCTTCCCCTTCCTTTTCTTCCCAACTTACCTTTCAACCGATTACGGTAATATCACTCAGCACCAGGAAGCTTTCACCAACTCGGGTATATTATAGATAGAAATTCCTCTTCGACAAAGCAAATGAAACTATCCATACACATGCATAGAATATCCCTAAACATGCTTAGTCAAAAGGCACAGCAATTCTTTTCGAGTGCTTAGGGCCATGTCAGCCCAAATCAACCTTGAAACTCTGTGGGAACTTTTAAAGCTAACTTCTAACAAACTTAGCTAAATCTGATCAGGATGGGAGTTGTGATCATGCATTCCAAAGATATGCCTGATCAAGTACATGAATCACCAAGACATGCACGATGCCGTAACTTAAAAGAGCCTGCACAATTGGCAGTAAGCATGCTAACATAACTACAGGTTTAGCAGCCACCTGCCATCTGCTTGTCAATGACTACCCCGCCATAAATCATCTGCAGTCCACTAAAGCTGCTGATAAGAGTATATATTCTGGTGTCTGACTTGTGCACCCACCTGAATGTGGGTATGATGATGACTATTCCAATAGTCCATCAGAGAAAATTAGATAAGGGAGGACAGCAAAGAAAATATAGACTTCTACAGACGTTTCTCTTGCTTGGATGACATAAAAAAGAGGGATATGAAAATAACATCAGGGAAGTGATTCCCCCCAGGCCCTTGACAGATTTTGTTTCAAATGTGGGAGGACATGGAAGGAAATTCCCCGACTGCATTATGGAAAAGGTGGCCTACTCAAAAGAATTTTTATTTTTGGCGGGGCGACGGGGAGGGGGATGGGACTCGTGACATAAAGTGAACACATTGAGGTTATTTCCATTCACTATTTGAATATATTTTATTGCCTTTTCCTTTCACCCCATCCGAACATCCTAACTATGCATTTCCCTCAACTTGCTCCATTCCTATTTCCCTTCATTTACCTCACAACTTTGACTTACCAAACGTTAAGGGACTAAGCTGTGTTGGTCTTCAAAAACAAGCAAACGTCATATCAAGAATAGGCGAAAGAACAATTTCAACAAGCAACTGCAAGCTCCTTAAAAATATGATCAAGATCAAGTACCTTAGACATAACCACTTTTTTTTTTCAACAAAGGATAGCACATTTTAGATGACTTAAAGGAAAATCAACAAAAAGAATCAAATCATGCACCTTGCTACTCACCTTTACCAACAATTAGACCAACCTGCTCCCAGGTAAGGTAAGTAAATGGTTCCAGCTTAGCAAAATTAAGCACAAGGGCGACGGGAAGGAATATCAAGAGGTTAAACAGCCCCAAGTATCCAAGGAACTGCACCATGCTGGCTTGACCTTGCTTTTCATCATCATCATCATCATCATCATCACGTAGTTTCTTCCTAATCAAGGTGACGTATACAGCACCCAAGGCAGTTGAGACAAGAGCAAGGATATCTCCAAGAAGAGGGTTGGTCGCAGTTGCTCTCGGAGAAGAATCTGACCCCGAGTCACCCACACTAACAATGATTGTTCCTCCCATGCAAAGAAGAACGCTGATCAGCTTTACCCAGGCAAATTTCTCTCCCAAGAATGCAAGAGAGATCAAATAGGTGAACAGACTTGACGCACTGCCCAAGATAGCGTTCGACTGTGAAAAAACAAGGCAATGGAACCAATTAAATAACAACGATAGAAACATATGCATAAACTAGGCAAGGAAAACATTTATAAAAATAGTAGTACCGTGACAGTAGTGTACTTTAGGGACAGGTTGAAAGTGAGTTGTGCAAAGAACCAAAATGGGCAAATGAGAAGGCTAACTTTCGCAACTCTCATCCTTGTCCAACGTCCCTTTGCGTCCACTCCCTTGTCAGCATCTTCACCCATTAGACCTTGATCATGCAAATCTCTTTCACTCTCATATTCAGATCCTAAATAACTAACTTTCGCGTGATGACTTATTTCACCTTCCTCCGCAGACGTGGATGGATATGGATCATCAGCTTTCACACTCAAATCACCTTCTGCAAGTAAAATTGCCTTCTCCGACTCCACCGATACTTTCAAATCATCACTCTTCCTATTCCGCCAGAACCATAAACTTCCACATTTATCCTCTGCATAACGCCCGATTTCAAATATGGGAATGTAAATGATGAACAGCGAATTGCATATGTACGTGATAACGAAAGGCGAAACTCCCGAATCAACCACGGATTGAACCACATAACCAGCGGCAACCCCAATGGTGGCGACAGCAACTATGCATATCAACCCCAAAATCCATCTCCAAACTTTAGTTGTCATGTCCTCCTATCAAAACCCCCAACTTCTGTCCCCTTCTTTCAGCAGGAAAGGATTGAAATCAATCCATGAAAAGTCAAATCCCCCAACAATTCTCAGACATCTCGTCCTAGGATGAGTCCCCAACCTCCGCAATTCACGATTCCAAAAAGGAACATCTGCAATTTAAAGATACAATCACCTACCGGAAGCTTGAACAACACAGAACCGGAAAGCTGGGAAATTTAAGCAATACTAGACATTATCAGATGAAGACCCTCTTCGCAGTTAAAGAAGAGGCAAGGAAAGCATAGTGAAACCTGCAATTGAAGACCAAATTGTGGAATTCAAAAATCAGCATCAAGACAACATTTTATCTATAGTAATTATCATTCCATACCCTCATTAAGAAAGCCACAACTTATAGTCAAAAGTAGGGGTGTGCATGGTCCGGGTGGGCGGTTCCCACCCCGGAACCGTGGACCGCCCGCTACAGGACCGGTTCCAAAAATTGGAACCGAGAACCGCCCGTCGGTTCCATGGACCCGCCCGAGAACCGGACCGCCGGTCCGGTCCGGTTCTTGGGCGGGTCCATGGAACCGGTCTCAACAAGTTTTCCTAGACAAATAAAAAAAAAAATCTGTGGACTAACATCGGATCAACAGAACAAAAGGAAAAGAACATAACTTTTCATACAATTCCTACACTATGATCAATTATATTAAACACATCATCCATAAATCAAGTGGGTACCCATTAATTATTAGTAAAAATGACCAAGGTATCCCAACTACATAAGAGCTTCAGACATGATAATAAATTTTCTTTTTTTTTTTTTAATTTTTTTGTCAGATTTTTTAATTAAAAATTAAAAAAATAAAATATATTATTATTATATTACCGGTCCGGTCCGGGTGGGCGGGCGGTTCCACACCGGGAACCGGGAACCGGCCCAAACAGTACCGGTTCCAAAAAATTGGAACCGGGAACCGGACTGGTTCCCTTGGGAACCACCGGTTCCGGGCGGTCTGGGCGGGTCCCGGTTCTTTTGCACACCCCTGGTCAAAAGGAATTTCCTGTTACCGGAGCCCTCCATCGAAATCTAGCTTTTTTCTTAAGACCCCATTATATATAGCACCGATTTCGACCACGCCGAGGCAATTTCTAGAGCTCGATTGATGCTCTCCAAACAACTAAGCGAGAATGCAAGAGTAAAATGCCTTCTCCTATCAGTTCATCTGTCCCCTTTCCCCGTCCGCGCAACTTCAGCGTCGATTAGCAAACTGATTATCGCCCAAGAACAAACACCAATCGCGAGTAGTAGAGCACACACGGAAGAAAAAAAAACATCATCTTTTGCGAAAACCGCAAGACGCAATCGCATACGCACACAAGCGCGAACGAAACGAAATTAGCCGAATTCGCACGAAACCACGGGCTGCCGCAAGCTACGGACACGCGATTACACCGAAATCCTTCCATCTTCCAACAAGAACCGAGGCATACAGCCATGCTACGCGTTGATCGGGGAAAGAGAAAGAGCAGAAAAAAAAGAAAGAAAGAGGAGAGAACGCTCACAGGCAATCGCAGCAAGTGAAAGATTCGGAGATTGGCTCGGGCTCGCCGTCTTCTACAGCCAACCATCGATCCCCCATCTTTCGAGTTGACTCCTCCAACCGGAGCGCGAAGCTCGACGGCGACGAAAGAGGAAGAGAGGGAAGGAGAAATCGGAGAGGCGGTGAAGGCGATAAAACTCGAGGTCCGGAGATTTCGGAGATTTCGGATCCTCCTGTTCTTCCGGAGATTGAGGAGATTTCCGATCCTCCTGTTCTTCTGTTGACAGGGGAAAGCTCGGACAAGAGAGGGGGAGAGGAGACTTCTTACATTGAAACGAATCAGATCAGCTCCTTCCGTTCAGGAGACGTTCGAATAATTTAAGGAAGGAATAGGATGTTAAGTCCCTAATAAGTAACGATATAAAATAGTCATTCTCCATATGTTTGTATTTAGGAAAAATAACATAAATAGTCCCTAAACTTTGACTCACTATGTAATTTGGTCCCTCAATATTTTATTTGTTTAATGTGATCCTCGAACAAGGAATGACTACATAGAACATTTTCATATAGTTCATGGATCGAATTGAACATGTACCAAAAGTCCAGGGACCACATTGAACAAATTAAAAGTTTAGGGATCAAATTGAACATTCGGCTAAAGTTCGGGGACTACATTAAATAAATTAAAAGTTCATGGATCAAATTACATATTTGATCAAAATTCAGGAACCGTTTGTGTTATTATCCCTTGAATTTATCGGGGAGGGATAATGACACAAATAGCTCTCGAATGTTGGCCCGGTATGCAACGCTATTCTCGAACTTCTAATTTGTTTGATGTGATCCTTGAATTTTAGTCCGATGTGTAATTTCATCCCTAAACTTTTAATTTGTTCAATATAGTGTCTGAATTTCTGGTAAATGTTCAAATTAGTCTCTATACTATATGAACAAATACAAAAAATTCAGGGACCACATTACACATTAAATTAAAGTTAGGGATTATTTATGTTCTTTTTACTATCGTGAATTATAAACTGGTGATGTCACCTTTTGAGTGAATTTCCAATGCCTTTTCACCGTCCTTTTCTCAACTAATTAGTTTATTCTTTACTCCTTTTTAAATCTAATTTAATGCCACTTTTGCTATTTATTAAAAGAATATATGTACTTCATGGAGGGGAATGGAATAGTTAAAGGGCAATCTTGACTCTTGATTGATTAATGTGTTTATACACTTATCACTTTAATCTTAATTTTTTGTCTAGTATACGACGAAAAATAAATCTATCGCAAATTAGCGACGAAATTAGCGACGAATTCGAAAAATTGGTCGATATAAACATTTTTGTTGCTAACTCCGTTGCAAATTAGCGACGGAATTAGCGACGGATTTGAAAAAATGAGAGCCATGTGCCGCGAAGATCACTTCCGTCGCAAATTTGCGACGGATTGGAAAATGCCCTTTATTTTTGGAATCCGTTGCAAATTTGCGACGGAAAAATAAATCCGTCGCAATGCGACGGATTGGAAATGCCCTTTATTTTTGGAATCCGTTGCAAAATCCGTCGCAAATTTGCAATGGAAAAATAAATCCGTCGCAAATTTACAACTGAAAATAAATCCGTCGCAAATTTGCGACGGATACAAATCCGTTGCTAATTCCCGTCTCAAAAAGCCACTTCTTTAATTCTCGCCCATTTGACCAAAAAAAAAAAGAAAAATTCCCACCCATGCAGACCGTCCTTTTCCCCCTTCTCTCTCTTCCTTTTTCTTTTTCTTGTCTTCTTCCTCCTCCTCTTCTTCTTCTCTTCTCCTCCTTGCGCGCACGTCCGCTGCTCCGCCTACAACTCACCGACGGGACCCCCACCACTGCGTCGCCATCCGGCCGTTAGGCTCCACCCGGCCGTCGCGCCACCGCCGTTGTCCCCCGACCGGGCCTCGCCCCGAGCCAACCGTGAGTGCGACCTTCCGCCTAGACCAGCAGCCGCTGCTTGTCACCCCGTCGCCGCGCGCCGTCTGCCTTGCGCCGGCTCTCGTCCGGCCGCCCGTCGCCGTCCGCCGCCGTGCTTTTCCCCCCTTGGCCGACTATCTTCCTCTCCCCTTCGTGCACGCATGGCCCTTCGCTTGCATCGCGTCTAGCCGCTCGCCCGGCGTTGTCCGGCAGCCTGCAACGCCGCCATGCCTCCCCCGACCGCCGTCTAGTCACCGCATGCCGTTGCCATCAACGCTGACCCCCTTGTTCTAGCCGTGCCCTCGGTCCTGGCCAGCCTGTCGTCGCCAGACCACCAGCCCGTCGCCCGCCAGAGGTCGTCGCCGTCGCTCGCCTTCTCACCGCCTGACGCCGTCGCCATCACCACCCAGCAGCCGCTCGTTGCCGTCGTCGCTCGCCCAGCTCGCCATCACCGTCGTTGCGCTCGCCCAGCCAGCCCAGCCGCTCACCCAGCCGCTCGCCTGGCCAAGCCTACTAGGGGTGTGCAAAAGAACCGGGACCCACCCGGACCGTCCGGGACCGCCCGAAATCGGACCGGAACCGGTCCAGTTCCCAGTGTGGAACCGCCCACCCGCCCACCCGGACCGGACCGGCAATATAATAGTAATATATTTATTTTTTTAATTTTTAATTAAAAAAATTTGACCAAAAAAAATTTTAAAAAAAAGAAGAAAATTGTTATCGTGTCTGAAGCTCTTGTGTAATTGGGATACCTTGGTCATTTTTCCCAATAATTGATGGGTACCCACTTGATTTATGGATGATGTGGTTAATATAACCGATCATAGAATAGGATTTGTATGGATAGTTATGTTCTTTTCTTTTTGTTCTATTGATCCAATGTTGGTCCACAGATTTTTTTTTTATTTGTCCATGAAAACTTGTTGGGACCGGTTCCATGGACCCGCCCGGGAACCGGACCGGACCAGTGGTCCGGTTCTCGGGTGGGTCCATGGAATCGACGGGCGGTTCTCGGTTCCAATTTTTGGAACCGATCCTGTAGCGGGTGGTCCACGGTTCCGGGGTGGGAACCGCCCACCCGGACCATGCACACCCCTAAAGCCTACCGCTGTCCCAGCCACTGCCACTCGCCGCTTGCCTGGCTGCTTCCCGGCCGTGCCGCTTGCCCGCTCTTCGCCTAGCCACCCAGGCCGTCACCCGTCGCCGTGCCCCGCTCGCCTGGCCACTTGCCCTGCCGTGGCCGAGCACCTAGCCCGTGGCTGAGGGCTGTGCCGACGACCGTGCCGAGGCCTCACTCATTGGCCGACCGTTGTGCCGACCGCCGCGTCGAGCTCGACCACCGCGCCGAGCCCGTTGGAGCTGCAGTTACTCCATTATTTAATCAATGTTAAATATAAATTCTAGAAATTAATTTTGCTTTTAATTAGATTTAAAATCCAAATCGTCCGTAAACAATATTCGTTACACACTTCGTCGCTAAAGAATTAATAAAAAATCATCACTAAATCCGTTCTGGACCAACGTTTGTGGCAAAAGTCAAAATTTGGAATGGCAAATTAGTGACAAATTTCACCACGGATCAGTTGGTCGCAAATTAATGACCAAAAAAAAAATTCATCGAAAATTAGCGATGAATTTTGCCACGAATACATTTCGTCGCAATTTTTAGACAAAAAAAAAACATTTTGTCGCAATTTAGAGACCAAAAAAAAATTCCGTGGTACATTAGTGACGAATTTTGCGACGAATACAGTTCGTGGCTAATTTGCGACGAATAAAGTTCGTGGCTAATTTGCGACGAATTTTGCGATGAATTTTTTACGACGAATTTTGCGAATGAATTTTGGGACGAATTTTTTTTCGTCCCAAATTAACGACAAAAATTGATATTTTCCGTCGCTAAATTTTGCGACGCCGAATTAGCGACCGATTTTTTTCCGTCGCAAAATTCGTCGCAAATTCGTTTAGCGACGAATTTTACCAAATTTTTTGTCGCAAAATTCGTCGCTAAAACCTTGTTTTTTTTGTAGTGGTATTACGCTGAGATCATTTTAATTAAGATGAGCCGGAGAACATGGAATTGCATTTTATTGATGTGGTGTTCTTAGAATAGTGAGTTGGTTTTTTTTTAATCAATTTGAATGATGGATATTTTTTTTTCTTTCTTTTTTTTTTCTGATAATGATTCTCTAGCCAAATAATTAGCAAGGTAGGTGACAACTGATGTCACAGAAAGCCGCCACATATCCATGTCTTGAATTCTTTGCTAATTTTTCAATAATTAAATGAGAACTTCAACTTTAATTATAGTCAGTTACATCTTTCTCCTTTCAAACTATACATATTACTCTCATCAAGTTTTAATTAAAAAATGACATTATATTTTTCTTATAACATTGTTATATTTTGCCTTGCCAAACCAATGTCCAATCACACACAAATCGCCAGTATCATTAACCATTTGTAAATTAGTAATTTCATCACACAACGTTTGAAACTCAGTTACAAGGAAATGATGTACAGTTACACGATCCAATGTCATACCATAAATAGTCACGTGTGAGCAAGAATCATTGACGTCGCATTTGATTAATCGCAGGTGCACGGTTCCACTATAACGATCAAAAAATCATTTAAAGAAAAGAGAAAACATCACATGCATGTTGATGTAGTTGGCTTTAGTAGGTCTCGGCCATGAATGGAATCGGTTCGCTCGGTCAACGACTTGGAAACATCAGTTCAACTTGGTTCTCGAGCCGGATTAAACCGTCACCCCCCTCCTCAATCCTGACAATATAATCACAAAGAGAAAATGTGAATCCACGCGACTCAATGCACTTAACTCGACTCGTTTTAACTTTCAACATGGAGTCGATCGTAAACTTTTGTTCTCGATGTTTCTCGTATTGAAATTAGAGGTCAATTGAACATCAGCATCCCAAAAATCACGCACGGAATTACGACTTGCGTGCATAGGTAAATAAATCCTTCTCTTCTCAATGTCCCACGTGCATTGCTAACCACGAATCCTGAAAAGCGATGTCATTTTGGTTTCGGGCTTGGGCTACGCCTAGTTCTGTTAGATCTATTTTGGGCCCAATCGAGCTGAGCCACAGCCAGCAGGCCCAACGCCATAGCGACTTCTGCATTTTCCCTTTTCAGATCTCGTGGCTCTTATTGTCCTCTTATCGGGCAATCTTCTGATAAAGCATATTAGAAGACCCGGCCCAACCTACTTTGGTCGGGTCCTGATCCGGACAATTTTTTTTTTTGTTTTTATGTATATTTTTACGTCGTGAGTGAACTTGGGCAATACACCCGGCTTGATCGTCGAGCCTGGCGAGATCCTAGCCACCCAACGATTGACCTCGTAGTGTGGATGAGTTACTGTTGCTTTTTTGTCAAGAAAATGACATAAATGATTCCTGAAGTTTGGTCTAATGTGCAATGCAGTCCCTAGACTTTTAATTTATTTAATATAGTCCATGAATTATCGATAAATGTCCAATCTACTTCCTAAACTATACAAAAATGTTCAATGTCACCATTTCATTAATTCAAATTAACAGAATTTGTTGATGCAGCTTCCAATTCGTTTATTTTCATTGGTGAACAAAAAAGAAACGTTACAATCCCTTTTATAAAGGCCTGAAGAGCCGTTTGTACGTGGGATAACATACCTGTCATAATCCTTATCTTCGTTTTCCCTGATTGGCATCTTAGCATCCCCTTTCCAGCTCAAATCTCGAAATAATAATCCAAGTCATTAAATAACGATGGACACGTTAACACCTTAAATTTTTTCCCTACCCTAAAGTAGAAAGATGTATATATTGAGTCATCATCTTTAATAATCCAACTCGGCATATAATAATATCCACATCATCAAATAATTACCGATTTGTCGTTTGAGTAAGCTGAATGACAACATTGAACCTTTACTAATAGTTCATGGAGCACATCGAATAAATTAAGAGTTCAGGAGTTACATTAGACATTTGCTAATAATTTAGGAACCACATCTAATAAAATAAAAAATTAATGGATTACATCAAATATCAGGCTAAAGTTGAAGAGATATTTGCATCATTTTTCCTTTTTTGGTTCTTTTCGTAGGTAGTCGAAGGAAAAAAAAAAAAAAACAAGTCCAAACGATTCCGTGAAGGAAAGCTCGAGAAGGTTCTCGTCTACTCGAACTGCCAAATACCTGGGAATCAGTGGAAACTTCGCTGAGGGAGAGAGTCAACGGAAACGGAAGGTAAGAAAAAAGTCAAAACGAAGAAGCGACATATAAGATATAACTAAAAGATAATCAGATTAATACACGAAATACACATGATTAACTAAACTTAATGAGAGTTAGGCAAACAAATAGCATGTTTCATAAAGAAGTGTTTGTTTTCTATGGTTCTATTTGTTTTGCAGAAAAAAAAGATTTTAAAAAAATTCTAAAAATAATTATTTGTGTTGCTTAAAATAATTAGTTAATGTAAAATATTTTTTTTATTGATAACAATTTTTGTTTAAATATTTTCATAAACGATGAAAATATTTTTCGTTTATTCATTTTTTAAGAAATATGATCGATTTGTAAAAAAATGTTTTTAAAATCATTCATTTAACGCTTTAACAAAACGGAGCCTAAATATCATCATTAAGCGGGCAACATACAAGAGAGTGAAGATTAATCGATAAATGAAAATCGTTATCAATTTCAATAGGAAAAAGCCACAAAAAATTCAAAATTATGCCTATTGTGACATATTTATCACGAATTTTTTCTCGTGACATAAAAAACCTTAAGTCAAGGTTCCGTTAAATTTTTTATTTCATTTGAGTCACGTGTGCGCCACGTCAATACCGTTTGCTTCCTGGTGTTCATATATGTAAATCTTTAACGGTTTTCATTTACAGAATTTTGATGGAGGGTAAGTATGTCACGCATGTACAAATTTGGGACTTCTGGCGTATTTTAGGATATATGTGTAACAATTGGCATAATTTAGGGTTCTTGGTGTCTTTTGCCCATTTCAATATAAGAGAAGAATTATTATTACTAATGTTATTGTTCCTACACCGATCGTCATAATAAAACTGAAATAGAACATGTCATCATATATCTATCAAATGCGTTAATTAAAAAAAAAACACAAACTTTACTTTGAGTTATAATTTTAGTTCGAATTTTTTTTATCTCATAAAAAACCACAAACTTTCATTTAAATCCAAAATTTGGCCCGAACAATTTGAAAGTTTCATATCACGGAAGCCAGATTTGAGACTCGAGTAAAAGTCAGTGCATTTTATATTAGGGGTGAGCACGGTTCCAGGGTAGAACCGGGAACCGAAAAATCAAACCGGCGGGTAAGGTTCGGTTCCCGGTTCTAGGGTGGGCGGTTCCGGTTCTCGGTTCCAATTTTTTAGGAACCGCCGGTTCCGGTTCCCGATTACGGAACCGGGAACCAGGAACCGGAACCGACGCTCTTCCTAGTAAAAAATAAAAATCCTAATTTTTCTTCACAAATTTCTCTCTCTCGGTTGCTCCTCCGTTGCGCCCTCTCTCCCACTCCCCACACCCACGACTCGACGAGACCCTCTCGCCTCTCCTCGCACCGTTCGGTGTCCACCTCGGCTCTTCCTCTGTCTTCATCAATCGCGGTCCGGCTCATCCACGGTGGATTTCCGATTCTGGGTTTTTTTGGTGACCAATCGAGCGGCCTGTGGCTGGAGGCGCAAGAAGGGAGCGAGCAAGGACAAGAGTAAGCGTCAATTGACGCCCGCGCTCCCTCTGCCCACTCCTCCCCTCGCCAAGGCATGGGTTCGAACCCCTCGACTTCGATCATCGATGCAACCTCGAAATTTGACGTCTTTTCTTTGGGTGGTGTGGTTTCAGTTTCAGATCGGGCTATGCCAACTTTCAGTGACGGCGGATAAAGAGAGGAACATTGCCCATGCTCGCGACGCGATTCGGGAGGCCGTGGACAAGGGCGCTCAGCTTGTTCTCTTGCCCGTGAGTCTCTCTGCATTAGGTAGACTTAGCAGATGTTTAGGCAAATGTAGCCCGTGTTGAATGAAAAAGGTCATTGAGCATTTCGTGTAGCTGCGAAAAGTTTGGATGTGCCTCCTGATTGCAAAATGGGAAATTTATGGCTTACAAGAACTTTTTATACCTTATCAAATGCCCTTTTGTGAAGGCGTGCACTAGAAGAAAGAATGGGTAAAAGCATCTTGAGCGGGCACGTGTCTGTTTCATCAGTTTTGGGTGACTTTCTGTGGCTAAGTTCTTATTGATGCTTATGTAATTGCTATGTTTTTATACTGCAAGCTTTGGCTTCCAGTAAAATCAGTTATATTTGTAGCCTGCGCCGTTCTATAAAAGGAGGGAAAAATCACGCAGCTTGCCTCATGGTTTTGTTTACTCTGTGCCAGGAAATATGGAACAGTCCCTATTCAAAAGATAGCTTCCCTGTTTATGCTGAGGACATTGATGGAGGTTCATCTCCTTCAACTGCTATGTTATCTGAAGTTGCTAAGGTCTTGAAGGTTACCATAGTGGGCAGTTCAATCCCAGAAAGATGTGGTGATCGATTGTACAACGCTTGCTGTGTTTTTGGTTCCATTGGAGTGCTAAAAGCCAAGCACCGCAAGGTAACTTTTCTTTCCTTAAGTAACTATGTATGGAACATTTAGTTGCCCGAGTCTTCTGGTCTATCTGTTGTTTAAGTTGTTTTCTTTTCTTTTCTTTTCTTTTTGGCTCTATGCAGACGTTGGACGTATTGGTATAGGCATCTGTTATGATATTCGGTTTCAGGAATTAGCAATGATTTATGCTGCAAGAGGTAGGTTTCGTTTCCTCTTCGTCTATTTTGCATTTCCTACAATGTTGACTGCATACTGGTGCTGGGGCTGCCACTGGCCCAGTCTATGCAGTTCGAAAGTAAGAAGATTTCTGACGGTAAACATGTATGTCTTAAGTGGTGGACCTTTGGATTGTTTTCCTTTGATTTATTTTCGTTTTATCCCTTCCAATGATTTTTAAGTTGAACATCAGCAAAGTAAGCCTTGCACAAAGGGGGGTTAGCTGTATAAATGCTTTTACGACATTGCGATATGTCCTCTATTGCTTTTTGTATAGAAGATATCTCTTTGCAATATTGAGTCCTAATTAGCTAGTTTTTGCCTCCTCCACTGTTATATTGTTTTAAGTTTCTTTCCTAGATTAATGAGGTTTGCTATTGGTGTTGCTAATTGGCCTTTTATTGACAATATCATTCTACTAAATATATTTGCATTGATCCATTGATAATAAAGTTATATGATGTTGAACTCTTGGTGTTTTCTATTCTGCATAAATGGATCTAGGTTGTTAGATAATATCCCATTTCTACTAAGCGAAATAAACTTTTTGTCTCCAAAAGCGAAACCGAACCGAACCCGAAATCGCTCACCCCTATTTTATATCACTCAAGAAGAAGTCCGTATTTTTTTTTAAATTACCTTTTTTTTTTTGGAGTCCAGAGCCCGTTGCGAACTTTTTGTTACAAAAAAAAAAAAAGAAGAAGTCGCAAGGGGCGTGCTGCGAGGAAACTAGAAAACAGGAATGGCAGGTTCTAGAAAAGTCCAACCCAACACAAAAATGGCTTTATAAATTCCTCCAGGCCTCCGGGTCAGTTGTCCTCCTATATTTGTTGTGGCCATCGACAAGTTCTCGCTTCTTCTCGCGTCGTCCTCCTTCGCGCCTCCGTCACACCGCTTGCCTTGGCCCCGCTTCGCTTCCTCTGTTTCCTTCAGGTACTCTCCCTCTCTCTCTCTCTCTCTCTCTCTCTCTCTACGTGTCTCTGTCTGTGGATCGTGTCCCGCGATCTTGAATTGAAAGCTTCGCTCTTTTCGGTTTGCTCTCGGATTGACCCGGTTCTGCGTCCGGCGCTGGAAAGATTCGACCCCCGTTCCCCCCCCCACCAACCGGTAAAGCTCTTAGATTTTTTTCTTTCCGTTGCGTCCGGGCCTTGCGTTTTATGTTTGTGATTATGCAAATTCGCGCGGTTGTTGTCCGTCCCGATTTGGGTGCGACCTGTCTGCGTCTTCCGGTGCGGGATCTTGGTTTCGGGCGTGGCCGGTTAGCGGTGCCAGTCACGTGGTTCGTTTCTTGTTCGTGTTAGATAGCCGTGCGGCGAATGCGGTACGAAGAAGAGTCGATTCTGTTTGGTTGAGTGCAGCTTTGGCTTAGGTTTGGCATCCAAACCGACCGCGATGCTTTATTTGTAGCGTATAGCAGAACACAGTCCCGGAGAGTGATGGCTTGTGGATTAGTTATATGATTAGGTTCTCATCTAAAGGAGATGGTTGGTTGCGGGTGGGGTTCTTTGAAGCTTTTCCTGCATGCTTGTGGAGGCTGCATCTGGTTTTGGAGAAGCGTTGGCATTTTTAATGTTTACTTAATTATTTGTTTCGGATTTCTTCCTTCAGTTTTCTAACCTCGTAAAACTGTGCTTGTTTTAGTGGTTTTCACCTGTCATCCTTTAGATTATCTTTTCCAGAATGCTCTCGGTTCAATAAAAAATTTAGACGCGGTAATATTCTTCTTCGAATCATGGATCCCTTAATTGGTATAATCTTGAGGAGCTATCTGAGAAGTGAAAAACAAAGTCAGTCAATTTGGTTAATTTTATCAAAAAACCAGCTGCATTGTGGTGCAGTATTTATAGACAAAAGTAGTTGCTTTTTGTGTAGTTTCTCAGTGTAGTTGTGACTTGTGAGGCTTTTGCTTTGTTACTTGCATGGCTGGAGGGCTGGTTTTGATGATGTTGGTTCTTTGATTTGTTTAGTCCTTGTAGGTGACACTTTCGCAGTTCACATTTTGGAGTTTTGAAACTGAAATGGCTGAGGTAAATGGAGAACTTCAGTGACGTACTTTGGTTTCTGGTATCTGTTGGTGCATCGTGTGCATGTAGTAACAAATTCTGAATGTGGCAGGAGGGTCACAAGGTTTCTTTGAATGTTTATGACCTGAGCCAAGGTCTAGCTCGACAGCTATCCACATCATTCTTGGGGAAGGCGATTGAGGGCATATGGTGAGTGGATTGCAGTTGGAGGAGGAAAAGTCGTCTATTTGTTTAGTCTTCTCTTGTTTTCATGAAAGTGCTGCTTCTGTGTGCACAATCTCCAGGCAATATATCTTGAAGATTTATTATTATTATTATGATTATTATTGTTTTTTGGGGGGTGGGGGGCTGCAAATAGAGACATTATTTAAGTTGGATCTTTGGTACTGAATTTTTTAAATCGTAATGTTTCTTAATGATACTGAGTACTCTTACTGACATCAATGATTTGAAAAATTTTCCTTGAACGCAGGCACACTGGAGTGGTAGTGTATGGTGATGAGTACTATTTTGGAGGAGGTATACAACATGCTCCTGTTGGGACAACACCATATGGTACTCCCATTCGCATTGTAGATTTGGGTGTCACACATGTGCCAAAAGATGTTTTCGAGATGTATTTACAGGAGATCAGTCCTCGATACACAGCTGAAACATACAGTCTGCTCACTCACAACTGTAACAACTTCAGCAATGAGGTAGCCCAATTTTTAGTGGGTTCATCCATTCCAGACTATATTTTGCAGCTTCCTAATGAGGTCATGAGTAGCCCAATGGGTGCTTTGATATGTAAGTCCATCTTAACTGTGTTATACCTGATTTCTGTTTCTAGTGTTTCTGGCCAAGATGTTCCTTCAATTGTCTATTAATTCCCCTTTCCATAAACTAAAGGAATTGGTTGGATGTAACTTGCTCTTGCACCACCCTAGTACTGTGCTACAAATAGAAATCTATGCCAGCAGAACGCGGCAGTAAACACCTGTCCCATTCGCCCTGTTATCTTGAGGTTGGATATGTGCTCCTCTATGTCCACAGGTCGTGTGTTACTGTTTGTTATTCCTCAGTGTCTTGGGTGATTATCTGGTGTGTTGTGATGAACTGTAGTTCCTCTATGAAATCGGGCGATTTCTGCAGGTGATGTTAATTGAGTGTGCTTGGTCTCTGTTTTTTTGGGGACAACGTGGGGATCATCCATCTGGTGGGTGATTGCATGGAAAAGATTGTCTTTATGTAGGCGTAATCACGTGAGGAAAAGACCTCACCCTTTTCCTTCTCGTCTTAAGAAGTCTAAGAGTGGAGAGTGTGATAGGCCCATAGAATCTTGTCCTGGAAATTTTCTAGGATGAGACACCCTTATAAGTTATTGCCTGTTTATGAGAGATTAGATTGAAGGGGTGGTAAATGAAAGTTTTCAAGTCAGACAATCATCATCAAGGTCAACTTGCTCTAGTTCCTCATATATAATTGCGAATGTTGTCGCTCATTGTTTGGTTTTTTGCGATGTTTTGGGGTTTCTAAATTGCGTCACCAAGCTGCTGGTGAATGTGTTCTGTCAAATGACATACTTCTGGTTTGTATTGCAGTGCCTATGATACAGAACCTAGAGACGACTTTGAAAGCAGGAGCTGTACCTCAAGTTCCACAATTTAGGCCTCCATCCTCGACCCCCGTTGGTAGCAGGTCCTTTGGCAGTACTCCTAGTGCACCCGTCAAGAAAACCAAAGCCACAGATGCAGATAAGAAACAGCAATCTGAGGAGTGTGCCAAGGAGTCTAACAATGAAAAAGCCCCAGCTGCAAGTGATTCTGCCGCGGCAAAAGTCGACCCTGTACCAGGCTATCCTCTTGGGGATGCACGGAGCAAGGTGCAGGAGGAGATCACCGCAGAATTTGTGGCGATCATGGCGAGCGGAACATTGCGCGCGAGTGAAGCTGCGGCACTTGCTACCAAGAGGGTGATGCAAAGATACGGACACATGAATGTTGCGATGTCGAGCTAAAAGAAATTTGAAAAAACAAGGCACATCATTATTACTTGGAAAAAGTGTGCTTAACTTCATCAGTTGATGCAGTTGACACACAGTGATTGATTGTCATGAAAAACTGAATTGGTCGGCTCCACCCTGATGTAAACTGATTTCATTGTTTGAATCATTAGCAGAGACCTTTTCTTCATAAGTGCGCGGTTCAAAACACTGCGTTTGGAAAACACGAATAAACCATTGCATTTGCGCCTCGTGTTTTCTCCTGAGGCGTGTTTCTTTAGCCCCTGGAAGAATGAAATGAAGTTGACTATCATTGTCCGTACGCTCTTCGAAATGCAAAGACAGGCACCTTTAAATTTGCTCTCTCAGCTTTCTCTGCTTACCTCTCCTGGCCAAAGAATAACAAGAAGACCTCAGCTGCCTTCGGTTAGGCTTTTGAGAAAAGCCGGTGAGTAAATGCAAAACACTTTTAAGTGAAAAAGTTTTTCTTTTGAAATGCAAATAGTATTTTATAAAGTGTAATTAAAAAGTGCATTGACTGTTTGGAACAAGCTACACTTGAAAAGGAATTTTGCTAAATTTTTTTTGGGAACAAACTACACTTAGACTGATTGTTGTTCCCAAGACGGGCTTCAGTTAGAGTTAGACTGGGAATTGTTCTGATGTTCTGAACCTGCGCCGCCGTCTTCAATTACAAAGGATATCGCCAGACTGTTCACGGCATCTTCCCAAACATCACTCGGGAAAGCGGGAGTGGTCAATGCGGTTCCATCTTCTGAACCGTCATTAGAGAGGACGAGAGCAGCAGAGCCATCGTCCAGCAGCCGCCCTGTTACCAACCTCAACATATAGTTTCGCGAGGTTCTTGGCTTTTTGAGTCTGAACTTGTGCTCCGGTCGATGTTGTTGGTTGAACTGGCCGGGGAGTTTGCAATGGGAATTGTAGCAATCTCCATAGAGATCATAGCCAATCTTCTCGACACAATCCTGACACTGGTATCTATCCCCGATTATTGGATGCATCTGCACAAAATCCAACCCAATCAACTCAATAATACTGATTTGTCACTTCCATGAGTTAAAATAAAAATTTTGTTGGTAACTGAGGCCAAAAGTTGGATTACACCATCCACAGCAACAGGTTCGGAAGCAAAGACAGGGAGGGGCCAAAAGTACAGTACCACGCATTCAAAATATGAAGATTGCTAAGGAGAATTAGAAACTTAGCATTTTCACGTTAAGGCTCTGTTCGTTTCCCAGAAAATAACTGCCAGGAATATGTTTTCCAGATTTTCAAGTAAGCAATTACTGAACGATGGAAAATATTTCCAGTTCATTTTCACGTTTCAGCTGAATACCGGAAAATAACTTCATGGAAAACATTTTTCAGAAAGGTCACACTTTCCGCGAATCGAATGGAACCTAAATGTATTTTAAACGTTTATTTCACCAGTTATGAATGCTACTAAGCACATTGAATATATAATTCCACTACAGCTACAAAGCCTGCAAAACCAAAACATGGCAAGATAATCATGGAATCGATCCAAACTTATATGTCTGGGTGAAAAGATTTAAAAAGTTACAACAATGACAAAAGTTTTGATATGGAAACAAGATCATTTGAAAGATTAGTATAAAGTTCTAAATTGAACCACATACGTGCCTAAATCCATAATCTTTTGCTTATATAAGAGAGAATCGCTTGCTATCAATTGAAGTTCAAGATAATTGAAATTCTTTCTTTCCATTCAGTAAATATATAAAAAAGAGAGAGAGATGAAAAGCTCACCCCACAGTAATCGCAGCCAGCTCCCGCATGGATCATCGCAGCATCATTTTTCATTGATGAATTTTTTTGTTGTTTATCACCTCTGTTATTACCTATTAACACAGCACCACGACCATCATGGCATCTCAAATATTATAAATGGAAATGAATGATGATTGAAGCTACATGTCATGATGGTCTGCAAATAATCCCTTGAACTCTGAACAATATAAAATGCAGATATGCAGAACATACGGGATTTTGGGCTATCATTCTTTGAGATACTCAGTCTACGCCGTGCAGCTAATCTCCTCAAAGCATATTCTTCAGAAAACAGTTGCTCCAAAAAGTGATCCAGCTCCAAACAAACTTCTGATAATCCCCCTGGATGTCGGCTTTGACAAACTTGACATTTGATCTTTTCATCAACTGGATTCACAATGCAAGATTCGCAATAGACTGGAAATCCAAACCACAAAAAAGAGGTATTAGGATGAATATAGTTTCTAATTTTATATTTGAAAAGAATTTCTGAACCTAGAAGAAGCAACTACATGTAAAGAATACCATGGCTGCAATTCAGAGCAACGGGACAAAAAAGCAATTGCTTGCATTCTGCACAGAGCACATCCGATACTGTAATCTGCTTGCAGCTTTTGTCTGAGCCAACTAGATGCCCATTCTCCTCTTCAACAGGTAGATCATGTTTTCGTTTCAAATCTTGTTTGGGACTGCTTGGACTGTTACCATCAATACCTGCAATGGGCTCTGATTGCACCTTACTTGCACAGGGTTCACCATTTCTAGAAGACTCGGTGTCCATAGATGAGTTAGGGACATGTCAGGTGTGATTGTGAAGAACCAGATAACTTTTGTTCTTCCTCATCGCCGGATCTCCACACGAGCATCAAACTGCGGAGAGAAAATTTCCTTTCTCTTTTCTTCCTCTGAAGCAGACAAAGGCTTGGGGGCGGGTGTAAGGGTCTCAGAAAAGTTGATTTTGTGCAATATTTTAACAAAGCTAAGCCGGTAGAAAAATCAACGTAGAATTATAATGACCAGTGGATCCGACGATCCTCATATCCATGATTAAATGGGACAAGAAAATGTGATCAAGCTTAAGAAGAAGCTGTAAGCAACCACCCTCAAAGGCACATACTCACACACCTCACCAGGTTGTTTAATTTCTTCCATATAGAAAAGGTGCAGAACTGATACTCATACGACAGAATAGGACAATCATTTAGAACTGCATGTTAAGACTTAAAGAATAGTACTTTAAGCATACACTCCAACACCCGCTGTAGTGCCACTGATACTTCTGAAAATTAAGTCCCCATTTAGTACATAGAACAAAATAGACATTGGGTGAGAAAACTATGGAGTTTATCTAAGTTAGAAGCGTTCAGTGCAAATATTGTTTAAGAACTAATTTGGAAGGGGAAGACAAAGATATGGAGTGAAAAGGTACAACCACAATGGTCGAGCAACGCCGCTTGGTTTCTAAGTACATAATCAGCTAGCTAAGCTTTGCTTCACTCGGCAATAAGACGTCCTTGACATAAGTAGATCATAAAATTTAATAAGTCAGGCCAAGTCCTTTTCATGCGCAATGTTGTTCTCCAGGTATTTTACATTAGCTAAGAGCAGTCAAGTGCACATAGAGAACTCACCTAATGTTAGTTTTTCCCTTCTCTTATAGGAATCAGGATACATCTTAAGCAACAAAAAGTGAAGTAACAGGCAGATGCTGGGGAAGTGAAAGTATGGTTGCCGACAAAGTGGGCATTTGGTTTCACGAAAACCACTCATTGATTGATGTACACACCAGAAACAGGAGATATGGCCACAAGCTGCATCAAAGGAAACCAGTAATTTGTTAATAAGCAGATAGAGAACTTCTGTGTATGTGGAAAAGAGAAGCTCCCTACGTAATACGACTGGCTTGTAAAGAAGGTCCCTGCAGCAAGATGAGAAAAGATTGGTGAAACTGGTCTCCCAAATATAAAAACATATAACTGCTCAAATAAGGACACAAGTGACATTAAGGTGACATATAAAAAAACGAAAAAGAAAATGACAGGACCCAAACCCGATGTCACAGACACAGGTTCAGGCATTGCATGGCGCGATTTCTTAGAGGATGATCCTCATTGTTGCGACTAAAGTTTACTTCTTATCGAGTGACAAATTATATTATTTTAACAAAAACCTCATGATTTGCATTTGAAAAGATGGGAGAAGACATAGAAGCTAATCGTTTAAACTGAGAAAGCAGCAGCTAACTTTATTCGCAAAACACGACCACAAAATTGAGAACATCAAAAAGAACCCAAGGGAGGAAAGAAGTCCACCGCCAATATGATGAGACTGCCATAGCCAAAGTCTCAACTTCTGTCACAGCAAGATCCAAAAAGTACACCAAGAACAAAAGCCATGCCAGTCACCGCAGATTTTGGATCATTATTATCTAGGCATTGCAGCTAGAAATTATCAGATGAAAATCCTGTTCGCAATTAAAGAAGACACGAGGAAAGCATAACGAAACCAGCAATTGAAGACCAAACTATGCAATTAAAAAATCAGCATCCAGAGGACAATCATCATTTCATACCCTCATTAGAGAGACGGCGCAAATGATGCTCCATGACATAGAAGAAAGGCACAATTTATAGTCAAATATCATTTCCCGTTACCGCAGCTCTCCATCAAAATCTAGCTTTTAACTGAAGACCACATCCTATACAGCGCCGATTTTAACCCCCCAAATTTCTAGAGCTCGATCGAGATGCGCTCGACACACCTGAGCGAGAAAGCCAAAGCTAAATGCCTTCTTGCATCAGTTCATTTTTCCCCTTTCCCCGTCCGTGTTACTTCAGCGTCAATAAGCAACCTGATCATCGCCCAACACAATACCAATCGCGCTACTCGCACACAGAAAAACATAATCTCTTGCGAAAACCGCAAGACGCAATCGCATACATAAGCGCAAACGAAATTAGCCGAATTCGCACGAAACCACGGGCTGCCGCAAGCTACGGACACGCGATTACACCGAAATCCTTCCATCTTCCAACAAGAACCGAGGCATACAGCCTTGCTACGCGTTGATCGGGGAAAGAGAAAGAGCGGAAAAAAGAAAGAAAGAAAGAGGAGAGAACGCTCACAGGCAAACGCAGCAAGTGAAAGATTCGGAGATTGGCGCGGGCTCGGCGTCTTCTACAGCCACCCATCGATCCCCCATCTTTTCGAGCCGGACTCCTCCAACCGAGAGCGCGAAGCTCGACGGCAACGAAAGGGGAAGAGAGGGCGAAGAAGAAGGAGGGATCGGAGGAGGCGGTGGAAGAAGATAGACCTCGAGGTCGAGAGATCGAGGAGATTTCCGATCCTCTTCTTCTTTTGCCTGATCAAGAACATGAGTTCACCAAGAAAAGCATGATGCTATATCCGTGACTAGACTGCTGCTCTGCTATATGGTATGGATTTGCCATATTATATTGGTCCACTATGGCTACGCATGACAACTTGCCAAACGGTGTTTGATTCTGTTCTTTTGTTCCTAGAATCAGTTTGGAAACAGAAATACGTTTGTTTAATTTTTTGATTTTGGGCACAATTTTATCAAAATTTTTTCCCAAAATCAGTTTTCAGGAATAAAAAAAAAGTAAGCTTCTTGATTCTACGAACAATTTTGAAAATCAATTTTTTTTTCTTCTTCCTTTTCTTGATTTTTAATGTAGCTTTTAATGTCTGGCCCGAGGACCGCCCTCGCCGGATCTGACGAGAATAAAATATTTTAATAAAAAATATTATTAATAAAAAAAATATTTTATCGGCCATGGCCGGTGACCAGGCCATGGTAAAAAAAAAGAAAAATATATATTTTTAATAAAAATATTGTAATAAAAAATATTATTAATAAAAAAATATTTTACGTGCCATGGCCGGTGACCAGGCCATGGCAAAAAAAGAAAAAATATATATTTTGAATAAACATATTTTAATAAAAAATATTATTAATAAAAAAATTATTTTACAGGCCATGGCAAAAAAAAAGAAAAATATATATTTTTAATAAAAAAAAATTTTACCAACCATGGCCGGCGACCAGGCCTTGGCCAAAAAAAATAAAAAATATATTTTTAATAAAAAATATTATTAATAAAAAAAATATTTTACCGACCATGGTCGGCGACCAGGTCATGGCCCAAAAAAATAAAAATGTATATTTTTAATAAAAATATTTTAATAAAAAAATATTATTAATATAGAAAATATTTTACCGGCCATGGCCGGCAACCAGGCCATGGCCAAAAAAAATAAAATATATATTTTTAATAAAAAATATTATTAATAAAAAGAAATTTTGTGGCGTTACCAAACGCATTTATGTTCTTTTTCTATTCCAGGGATGGAAAATCGTTGTCACGCGCAATCTAATTGGACCTAGGCCCATTTTAAATGCATTCGATTCGAATTAAATGCAATTAGGAGCAAATCCTAAAAAAATTCTTTGTCGAGTCAATAAAATCATGAAAAACATTTCAATTTATTTCTCTTTTACATATAATAATGGATTTGCCTGGACCAATGCATGATTTTCTTTTAGTTTTTTGGGATCAGGTCTTATATTAGGAAGTCTAGGATTGGTATTACTTACCAATCCAATTTATTCTGCCTTTTCCTTGGGATTGGTTCTTGTTTGTATATCCTTATTTTATATTCAATCAAACTCCCACTTTGTAGCGGCTGCGTAGCTCCTTATTTATGTAGGAGCTATAAACGTTTCAATTCTATTTGCTGTGATGTTCATGAATGGTTTATAATATTACAAAGATTTGAATATTTGGACCGTTGAAGATGGGATTACTTCGTTGATTTGTACAAGTATTTTGGTTTCACTAATGACTACTATTTTGGATACATCTTGGTACGGGATTATCTGGACGACAAAGTCAAACCAGATTATCGAGCAAGATTTGATAGGTAATAGTCAACAAATCGGAATTCATTTATCAACAAATTTTTTTCTTCCATTTGAATTCATTTCCATAATTCTTTTAGTTGCTTTGATAGGTGCAATTGCTATTGCTCTGCCGTCAGCTACAAAGTGCTGCTGATGACAGTACGCGTACTGGTGTTTGGCTTGCGTACGTACATGCCCGAACGAGGGTACGATGTTGTCTGTCCTAATCGTCCGCCCAAGAAAATTAACGAAATGTTTTGTTTTTTAATCAAAAGAAAGGGAAAAGTGCTGAATAAGTCCTAAACCTTCTGGGGTAGTGTCAATTTAGTCCTAAACCTATTTTCGATGTCAATTGAGTCATAAACCTTTTGATATAGTGCCAATTCAGTCCTTTTGGTCAGATTTTGCTGATGTGGACGTCAGTCGGCCGGCGCTGACGTGGATAAAATTTAATAATATTTTAATATTTTTTTGAATTTTTTTTCTTTTTTTTTTCTTCTCCCTCTTCCTTAAGCTGTTCGCCGGAGCGGCGACCGGCTGGAGGCCCAAGGCCGGTAAGGTCGACCTCGGGCAAGCCACGCCGGCCACTGGTGAGGCTCGCCCTCGCCGGGCCCTCGCCGGGCCCTCTCCATGGCCGGGCGAGGGTCGACCTTGCCAGATCCAGTGAGGTCGGGCCTCGCCCAGCCGCCGACGAGGCTCGACCTCGTCGGATCTGGCGAGGTCAAGCCTCGCCCAGCCACGGCGAGGCTCGCCTTCGCTGTCGCCGGCGAGGGCGAGCCTCGCTAGTGGACAGCGTGGCTCGCCCGAGGTCGGCGAGGTCAACCTCGCTGGCCTCTGGCCTTCGGCCGGTCGCTGCTCCAGTGAGCGGCTGAAGGAAGAGGGAGAAGAAAAAAAAATTAAAATATTATTAAATTTTGTCCACGTCAGCGTCGGTGACCGGCTGACGTCCACATCAGCAAAATCCAGCCAAAAGAACTGAATTGGCACTATATCAAAAGGTTTAGGACTCAACTGGCACAAAAAATAGGTTATGATTAAATTGGCACTACCCCAAAAGGTTTAGGACTTATTCAGTAGTATTCCCTCAAAAGAAATAACTAAATGCTAAAGTTCAACAAAAGAGCACAAAAATTAAGGACGCGCATGATAATCATTCTGATTCTCTTTTTTTTTTTTGTTCTCAGGAATAGGTTCGGAATAGGAATTTATTTAGTAACGCAATTTTATTTTTTTATTTCTGGAATTTTTAGTTTGAAAATAGGTTTGGAACATAAACGAGAAGTAAAAATATTATACTTTTCTATTTATGGAACAAAAGGATAAATAAAAAATCTTCTCATCGCTCGCCCTCACCTCTTGTCGCTTGTCACACACGGCCACTGCCTTGCTAATCGTTGTCGCCGGCCGTCGAACGGTGCCCTCCCGCCGATCACTGTGACCCCTCGTCGGCTTCCCGCCACCCGTCGCCACCGGTTGCCGCCCGTCGATGAATGGAAAAGATCATAAGAGGGAGAATTTTTGTGTCGTTATCAAATGATTTTTTGTTCCGGAAAGATAAATTTCGTGTGGTTATCAAAAGTGTATTTCTGTTTAAAAACTCGTCTAGGGAATATAGATAGAAAATTCGTTAGTAATCTATTTTTAGAACAGAATAGTTATTATCATTCGCGTCCTAAATCTGATCTGTCGAATAGCGTGACCTTAGAAAGAAAACTTTAAAAATCAATTTTCTAAGGTAAACCTGCTCATCCACAAAAAAGAAGTTAACCTGCTCGGGATTCTGGAATATCAAATTTACATAGCAAGAATACTACGAAGAATAGGCTATATCTAATTTATGTCATGACTTACAAGTAATATACCAATATAATGAATACAGACAAGGTAATAACTTAAACTATAAATTCTCGGATGAACGTTCATGGTTTGGTGTCCTCCTAGATGCATCTGCAGATATCTGTAGGCGCATCTCTGCGTACGTGAAATTCCAAAGATCCTGCTTTAATCTTTAAACATGAGAAAGAGAACCATGTTCCTGGAGATCTTTTCACTGCAAGATATGAAAATATAATGAAACCCCCAGATAGAGAAAATGCCGGTATTCACAGCAGTGTATGTAGAAAAAAGTTTCACCATAAAAACTGCCGCCGAGCGAGCTCACCTTGCACCGCGAGTTGAAGCCCCAATCGATCGCTTCCGCAACTGTGGGCTTGTGCTCTGCCGTGCCGGTGGCGTCCTCTGCCTGGTTTGTCCCATCTCCGCCCCTCACGTTGTGATCAGACTGAGGATATTGCGTATGGGCCGTTACGGTTCCTGCTCCGGGGCCTAACCAGAGGTAGCTCAACGCAGTCACAGATCTTGAAAAGGCCAGTTTCGTTGTGCTTTTAGGCTTGGGCTTTTCCTGGTTTTGTCAATCTACTTTGGGCCCAATTGAGCTGCACCGTGGTGAACACCGGGACGACTTCTGCATTTCACCTTTTCAGATCTTGCGACTCTTTAAATGTCTTATTAGTAGACATCTATTTAAACCAAGGTATTCTAAGCCTTTTTAAAGATATATCAATGTCGATATAGTGAATTACGTACTTTGTATTTGAAAGATGTGTTTATACTTTAGCTGGATAAACAAGTTTTATGAAAAAGTCGAAATATGCATGACGTACTATTGGTATGTTATCGACATGAGAGCAGCTCGAGAGGCCTAAAAGATAAATGGGTGAGTTTGGATAATATTCTTATTTTGAGAAAAGCTGGCCCACTTAACATTAGCCCGTTCGCGGTCCTGGCCCGGGCATTTGTGTGCACTTTTGTACCGTGATCAGGCTTGAATGGATATGATGCGTGTCGGGCGTATCTATGGCGGAATGCAAAGCTTTACTCGCGCACCAACACATTCAACCAACGATTGAAATAGGTGCTTCGAGGGTGCCACGCGTTTTTGGAGTATCATAACAACCCCAAAATTGGAGATGTGTTGGAAAGCATAGCTCGAATTCTAATCGCAGATCAAGATGAGAGGCCCTTCATAATTACTGAAAATCCATTAAATGACCAACATTTATTTAGGCAGTACACAGTTCTTCAAGTACAATAGTTCAATCGAAAACCGTATATCATCGCTTCATCTGAGATTCACTGTTCCAAAGATTGATCAGGCTTACTCTCTTTAGAGTGCTCCTACTCTCATATCTAAATGTACACTGGCCCTAAATGACCGGTGAAGACTTCTTGACTGAGATCGAGAAGACATTTTGCATTCTTTCAGAGCATAAGCAATTCCATGTGCGCCTGAGTTATAACCACAACAATGGAGAGAGTCGCATGGAGTAGCTTACGGATGGAGTCATACATCGGGAACGAGAAGTTAATGCTCCTTTAAGAACTTTTCCTTTGAACAGTGGGGTTGTATATCTTTACATGAAGAATTGCATTGTAAGCTCAGGAACCTCGTGCTAGGAAACTGCATCAGATTTCTCAGCATGCAAAGCAGCATGGTCTTGGTTACCGATGTCTTCATTTTTGAGATCAACACTGGCTTCTTTTGATCTGCTGAAAGCATCGGAAGGTATATTGATGCCTGCAAATCCGATCATGACCGCAACAGCGCCGAGGTAATCCATGAGATGAGGTGCATTGCCAGTCAGTGAATCTACAACAGCTGCCAACGGAACTTGTATGGTAAGACCAGCTGTTGCGACGGTGGTGGTAGTCAGAAGACTGGCCTTGGCCCACAAGTAATCGCTCAGCACATTATCTGACAAACCTGAGTATGAATAGGGAAAGGGGAAAAGAAGCAGATTAGTTAGTTTGAACTTCCAGCATATTTGGCAAATCCAACAGCTCTAACTATAGATCAACAGAATTCCAAATCAAATGTCGTCAGGTAGAAGATATTATCTCTCCGTCCACAAGAAGTCAAATGTAAGCATGTGTGTGAGTTACTACACTGGCAACTACAAAATCATTGCTCTTCTATCCCTTTATTTGAATTAAATCATTGAGATCAATTTTGGAGGGCCATGATCATCTTTGCCTCAAAAAAGGTTTGCAGTTGAAGGATAAAGCTCCCATTTGCAAGAAAGCAGATATTGCTATATTTTAAAAAAATAATCTGGCTAAGTAACTCTATCGATTACGTAATCAAAATCCCAAATAAAAGCTGAATCCATCATGCAGCTGTCCCGTATTCCATTGTTAGTATGCCAGCAATCTGAGTCTAGTTGGCGGTAATTGATAAAATGCTAAGTCAAAAATAGTACTTCTCCATATCCTTTATCAGAAATTCATCAGTTCCATCCAAACCCAACCATCAGCTCCTTCCCTTCCCTTTCCTTTTCTTCCCAACTTACCTTTCAACCGATTACGGTAATATCACTCAGCACCAGGAAGCTTTCACCAACTCGGGTATATTATAGCTAGAAATTCCTCTTCGACAAAGCAAATGAAACTATCCAAACACATGCAAATGAAACTAGCTATGCATTTCCCTCAACTTGCTCCATTCCTATTTCCCTTCATTTACCTCACAACTTTGACTTACCAAACGTTAAGGGACTAAGCTGTGTTGGTCTTCAAAAACAAGCAAACGTCATATCAAGAATAGGCGAAAGAACAATTTCAACAAGCAACTGCAAGCTCCTTAAAAATATGATCAAGATCAAGTACCTTAGACATAACCACTGTTTTTTTTTTCGATAAAGGATAGCACATTTTAGATGACTTAAAGGAAAATCAACAAAAAGAATCAAATCATGCGCCTTGCTACTCACCTTTACCAACAATTAGACCGACCTGCTCCCAGGTAAGGTAAGTAAATGGTTCCAGCTTAGCAAAATTAAGCACAAGGGCAACCGGAAGGAATATCAAGAGGTTAAACAGCCCCAAGTATCCAAGGAACTGTGCCATGCTGGCTTGACCTTGCTTTTCATCATCATCATCAGGTAGTTTCTTCCTAACCAAGGTGATGTATACAGCATACAAGGCAGCCGAGACAAGAGCAAGGATGTCTCCAAGAACAGGGTTGGTCGCAGTTGCTCTCAGAGAAGAATCTGACCCCGAGTCACCCACACTAACAATGATTGTTCCTCCCATGCAAAGAAGAACGCTGATCATCTTTACCCAGGTAAATTTCTCTCCCAAGAATGCAAGAGAGATCAAATAGGTGAACAGACTTGACGCAGTGCTCAAGATAGTGTTTGACTGTGAAAAAACAAGGCAATGGAACCAATTAATAACAACGATAGAAACATATGCATAAACTAGGCAAGGAAAACATTTATAAAAATAGTAGTACCGTGACAGTTGTGTATTTTAGGGACAGGTTGAGAGTGAGTTGTGCAAAGAACCAAAATGGGCAAATGAGAAGGCTAACTTTCGCAGCTCTCATCCTTGTCCAACGTCCCTTTGCGTCCACTCCCTTGTCAGCATCTTCACTCATTACACCTTGATCATGCAAATCTCTTTCACTCTCATATTCAGATCCTAAATAACCAACTTTCGCGTGATGACTTATTTCACCTTCCTCCGAAGACGTGGATGGATATGGATCATCAGCTGTCACACTCAAATCACCTTCTGCAAGTAAAATTGCCTTCTCTGACTCCACCGATGCTTTCAAATCATCACTCTTCCTATTCCGCCAGAACCATAAACTTCCATATTTATCCTCTGCATAACGCCCGATTTCAAATATGGGAATGTAAATGATGAAAAGCGAATTGCATATGTACGTGATAAGGAAAGGTGAAACTCCCGAATCAACCACGGATTCAACCACATATTTAGCGGCAACCCCAATGGTGGCGACAGCGACTATGTATATCAACCCCAAAATCCATCTCCAAACTTTAGTTGTCATGTCCTCCTATCAAAACCCCCAACTTCTGTCCCCTTCTTTCAGCAGGAAAGGATTGAAATCAATCCACGAAAAGCCAAATCCCCCAACAATTCTCAGATATCTCGTCCTAGGATGAGTCCCCAACCTCCGCAATTCACGATTCCAAAAAGGAACATCCGCAATTTAAAGATACAATCACCTACCGGAAGCTTGAACAACACAGAACCCGAAAGCTGGGAAATTTAAGCAATACTATACATTATCAGATGAAGACCCTCTTCGCAATTAAAGAAGAGGCAAGGAAAGCATAGCGAAACCTGCAATTGAAGACCAAATTGTGGAATTCAAAAATCAGCATCAATACAACATTTTATCTATAGTAATTATCATCCCATACCCTCATTAAGAAAGCCACAACTTATAGTCAAAAGGAATTTCCTGTTACCTTAGCTCTCCATCGAAATCTAGCTTTTTACTTAAGATCCCATTACATATAGCACCGATTTCGACCACGCCGAGGCAATTTCTAGAGCTCGATTGATGCTCTCCAAACAACTAAGCGAGAATGCAAGAGTAAAATGCCTTCTCCTATCAGTTCATCTGTCCCCTTTCCCCGTCCGCGCAACTTCAGCGTCGATTAGCAAACTGATTATCGCCCAAGAACAAACACCAATTGCGAGTAGCGCGCACACAGAAGAGAAAAACATCATCTTTTGCGAAAACCGCAAGACGCAATCGCATACGCACACAAGCGCGAACGAAAAGAAATTAGCCAAATTCGCACGAAACCACGGGCTGCCGCAAGCTACAGACACGCGATTACACCGAAATCCTTTCCATCTTCCAACAAGAACCGAGGCATACAGCCATGCTACGCGTTGATCGGGGAAAGAGAAAGAGCAGAAAAAAAAGAAAGAAAGAGGAGAGAACGCTCACAGGCAATCGCAGCAAGTGAAAGATTCGGAGATTGGCTCGGGCTCGGCGTCTTCTACAGCCACCCATCGATCCTCCATCTTTTCGAGCCCGACTCCTCCAACCGAGAGCGCGAAGCTCGACGGCGACGAAAGGGGAAGAGAGGGCGAAGAAGGAGGACGAATCGGAGGAGGCGGCGGAAGAAGATAGACCTCGAGGTCGAGAGATCGAGGAGATTTCCGATCCTCTTCTTCTTTTGCCTATATCCGCGACTAGACTGCTGCTCTGCTACATGGTATCTGCAGTCAACTACAAAATGCTGCTGACGACAGTACGTGTTCTGGTGTTTGGCTTGCGTACATACATGCCCGAACGCGGGGACGATGTTATCTGTTATAATCGTCCGCCCAAGAAAATTAACGTTTTTTTATATTAAAGGGTTAATACACTAAAATCCTAAGCCGGTGCACGCTTGCATACACATTTACCCCAAATTATTTTTTGACCATAAAAATCCCAGCTGATACACCAGTGACAATTTTACTCGAACATACCACAAAATGCTAAACCTGGGCAGTACATTACATGACAATTTTACCCCGAACTAATTTTTAATATTATTTTTTATTTTTTGAATTTTTCTTTTTCTCTTTTCTTTTCTTTTTTTCCTTCATCTTCAAGCGGAAGCCGGCGAGGGCCGCCTCGGCCGTGTCGGCGAAAGTGGCCGCCCTCGCATCCGGCAAGGGCGACCCTTGCCAATATCGGAGGAGAGCGCGCCCTCGCCGGATCGGCAAGGGCCTCCTCGCTGGCGTCGGCGCCCTCGCTCGCCAGTGGCAAGGGCGACCCTCGCCCGACTCAAGCGAGGCGGCCTTCGCCCGCGCAGCGAGGGTCGCCTCGCCGGATGCAGCGAAGGCGACCTCGCTGCGCCAGCGGGGCGGCCGTCCTCGCACGCCTAGAGGCAAGTGGCAACCCCTCGCCCGACGCAGAGCGCCAGGGCAGCCCCGCCCGCCTGTGGCAAAGTGGCGACCCCTCGCGGCTCAAGCGACGGCGGCCCTTCCCGACGCAGCGAGTCGCCCTCGCGGATCCGGCCGGCGACCCTCGCCGCGTCAGGCGGGCGGCCGCCCTCGCCGGCTGTCAGCTCACGAGCGGTCGCCGAAGCCGCGACCAGGCCATAGTTTGAAAATGAAAAAAAAAAAGAATAAAAAATGAATAAAAATTCGAAAAAAATAAAAAAATAATAATATTAAAATTTTAATTCAGGGTAAAATTGTCACATATGTACACCCTATATTAAAAGAAATAACTAAATGCCAAAGTTCAATAAATGAGCACACAGGTCAAGGGCGCGCATGATAACCATTTCGATTTTTTTTTTTTTTTTTTTTCAAGAATAGGTTTGGAGTAAAAATTTGTTTAGTAACACAATTTTATTTTTGAAACAAATTTTTAGTCTAAAAATAGGTTTGGAACACAAATGAAAAGTAAAAATATTATACTTTTCTATTTATCGAACAAAAGGATAAATAAGAAAACTTCTCATCGTTCGCTCTCGCCTCTTGCAGCTCGTCGCACGGCGGCCACCGCTTCGCTGATAGCTGTCGCTAGTCGTCGACTACTGCTCCCCCGTCGACCGATGCCACCCCTCATCAGCTTCCCGCCACTCGTCGCCACCAGTTGCTGCCCATCGATGAATGGAAAAGATCGTGGAAGGGAGAAATTTTATGTCGTTATTAAACGAATTTTTGTTTCGGAAAGAGAAATTTCTTGTGGTTATCAAAAGCGTATTTCTATTCAAAAACTTGCTCCGGGAAAAGAGATAGAAAAATCCTTAGAAATCTATTTTTAGAATAGAATGGTTATCGTTCGCGTCCTAAATCTGATCTGTCAGATAGAGTGACCTCATAAAGAAAACTTTAAAAATCAATTTTCTAAGTTAAACCTCCTCATCCGCCAAAAAAAAAAAAGAAGTTAAACCTGCTCGGTATTCTGGAATATCGAATTTACATAACAAGAATACTACAAAGAATGGGCTATATCTAATTTATGTCACGACTTATAAGTAATATACCAATATAATGAATACAGACAAGGTAATGACTTAAACTATAAATTCTAGGACGAACGTTCATAGTTTGGTGTCCTCCTAGATGCATCTGCAGATATCTGTAAGCGCATCTCTGCATACATGAAATTCCGAAGATCCTGCTTTAATCTTTAAACATGAGAAAGAGAACCATGTTCCTGGAGATTTTTCACTGCAAGCCATGAAGATATAATGAAACCCCCAGATGGAGAAACTGCCGGTATTCACAGCAGTGTATGTAGAAAAAAGTTTTACAATGAAGAAACACTGCCGCCAAGCGAGCTCGCCTTGCACTGTGAGTTGGAGCCCCATTCGATCGCTTCCGCAACTGCGGGCTCGTGCTCCGCCGTGCCGGTGGCGTCCTCTGCCTGGTTTGTCCCATCTCCGCCCATCACGTTGTGATCAGACTGAGGATATTGGGTGTGGGCCGTTACGGTTCCTGCTCCGGGGCCTAACCAGAGATAGCTCAACGCAGTCACGACGTCGGTCATTAAGGGCCGGACCGCCACTTCTTCGTTGAGGCACATCGCAGCCACTGCAACTGCCTGGTTCAGGCCTCTCAAGGGAAAGTCACTGTTTAGGAGCGGATCCGCCAATTCTGGGTATCTGCGAGGGTCCTTAAAAACGGGTTGTGCCTGTTTTGAGCCAAAATGAGAGAGAAACTTCGCTTCAACAGATTTCATAAAAAGTTGAGGAAGAAATGGACACTGGTGTGCATTTCAAATTGACAATAGTTTAGAATGAGCTGCGTGCAATGATCACTCAACTTGTCGAACTGTTTTCGTGCTAATTTGCTTCTCAAGCTAATAAAATTGGACGAAAGTATATACGGATGAAGAATACCATAGCGAGATTAATGCTAATGAAAACAGATGGTGCTGCCACATTTGTACGCCGAACTTTGACCCCCCCAAAAAAAATTCCTTACCCAAGTGACTAGATTTTGCTCTTCTGTGGGCCGGGTGATGTCGATGGCTCTCCTTCCGGTGATCAACTCCAAGAGGACAATGCCGAAGCTGTACACATCCGACTTCACAGAAAGCTGGCCCGTGCTCTGATACTCCGGGGCGCAGTAGCCGTAAGTACCCACCACTCTCGTAGACACGTGCTGTTTGTCCCCCACTGGACCAAGCTTGGCCAGCCCGAAATCGGAGAGCTTCGCGTTGAACTGGCTGTCCAGAAGAATGTTGGAGGGCTTCAAATTACGGTAGATGACCGGGGGTTTTGCCTTGTCGTGCAGATACTCCAAGCCCTTAGCCACTCCTAGAGCTATCTTCATTCTTGTGAACCAATCTAATGGCTTTTGGTTTGGCCCAAGAACTGAATTGGAGCATAGGAACATAAGTGGTTGTTTTGAAACTAAATCTCTTGAAACTTGTTTCGGCATACGAGTTTCCAAGAACGATGGCCAAAACCTACACTCGATATCAGTACACAAGCTGATTTGGTTTGTAAATATCTAGAGACCACGAAGGCTTGAGAGCAGAGGAAAATATTTGAATACATTGTGAGGAAAAAATATCTTTAAAAGTTCTTGAAAAAGTTTGGACAGTCCAATAATGCTTGATGAATGCGAAGAAAGTATGTAGTACCGAGCAGATGGTCTTCCAAGGAACCGTGCGGCATGTACTCGAAAACCAAAAGCCTCTGCTCGCCCTCGGCGCAATAGCCGACGAGATCCACCAAGTTCTCATAGTGCAAAGTGCTCAGCATCAACACCTCCACAAGGAACTCTCTGTTCCCTTGCAAGCCGTTCCGGTCGAGTTGTTTCACAGCCACGACCTGAATGTTTGTTTGACATCAGTCCCTGTTTATATGCCAATTGATTATAGTAGTCATTAATTTTTCTTTTAAATTTTTGGGGTTTGTATTCACCTGCCCGGTTTTGTCGAGCCTTCCCTTATAAATTCTCCCAAACCCGCCTACCCCGATTAGGCATTCCTGCCTAAAGTTCTCCGTGGCCGTGGCCAGTTCTTGGAAGGTGAATGTTTGCACCGCAACGTTGTTGTTGCCGCCTGCTTCTTTAGGAGGAGTGTCCTTCTCCGGTGCGGTCTCAATTAGCGGTCTCGGCTCATTAGTCTCTGCACGACACAGAAATATCAATTGCGAACAGCAAAAACTCAAAAGAAAACTCCGCCTAAGTGAGTCCTGCCTTCTGCGTGCCTCGGCATCCATCCTGGTCATTTACTAGTTCGAGTCTCACGACCAGACGTGCACAATTTCAACAATAAGACAGGCCCAAAAAAAGAGAACAAAGAATTTGGCACAATCTTTTAAGGTTATAAGTGCTACTGCAGAAAACAGATACGTAGTGAATTTTTTCAATAGAATTTCGCACATCCCTTGCTGGCATGTTGCACAATAATGGAGAAGAAATAGTTTCATTTGAAGGGTTGAACAGTAAGTAAGCGAGCTTCAAATCTTGAGCGCTGATTCTCCAAAAAGATGGCGACGTGATCCTATATGCACTTACCGGTCCGTGGTGGAGCCGCGCTATTGGAAGCTGCCTCCTTCTCACGGGACGAAGAGCATGAAAAGCAACTCATCTCTCAGTCTGGTATGGTGACGATGATCAGCACTCGTTGATCTTGAATTCAAGGATATCGGAGATAATATCGCACATATGTTGAATCTAGTTCGTTTTAGGAGTTGGAAACCATGGAATGGAGCAACCCAGAAACATCAATTCAACTTGGTTCCTCGAGTCGAATCAATCTGCCGCCCACTCCTTGATCGAGACAATATAATATACAGACAACAGAGAGAGAGAGTTTGAACTTGGACGGCACCCTCCATAGACTTTTTATCTTGACGCGCTTTCAGTTTCCGCACCATAAGCTTTAGTCCTCGTATTCTGCCGGCTAAAATCACGGGCTAATTAAAAAAAAAAAAAGCAGAAATTTTATGTTGAGTGATAATTCTGAATTGAACTTTACGCAAATTTTTATTCGAGTTTCAAATCTAGCCCCCGTGATATAAAATTTTCAAATTATTCCGATTAAATTTGAGATTTAAGTGAAGTTGATAATTTTTCACGACATAAAAAAAAATTCGAGCAATAATTATTATTCAAGATATAATTGGTGATTTTTTTTATGGAATTAGGCCCTAAAATCACTCCCGTTATGTTGCACCGACACGTTCCGGAGGACACCGTGTCGCCGACACGCGGCGGACACGCTTGGACACGCGGTCAACGCGTGTCGGAGATCCGACACGCGGCCAACGCGCCGGACACGCCGGCGACACGCGAGTCCGGAGCAAAAGGGAGAAAGAAGAAAGAAAAGCCCCCCTCGTCAGATCTCTCGCTCGCCAGAGCAATGAACAAGGACACATACCGCATAATCCCGATCCCTTTCGACAGCGAGTACCCGTTGATCTGGAAGTGGGGAACGGGGAGGTGGGGGGATCTGGGAATTTCGACAGCGAGTACCCGTTCGTTTCGAATTTCCACAAATCGAGGCTCGGATGCTGCGAACCCCACGACGAATCCTCTCGAAGAAATGGGGAACGGGGAGGTGGGGGATCTGGGAATCGGTCCGGATTGGGAGGAGAGAATTTGCCCGGGGAGGGAGGATCTGGAAATCTAGGTCGCTAAGGGGTTTTGAGAACTCACCGACGACCCCCCGATCCTTCCGAGCCGAGCGCCATGGGTGAGCGAGCTGAGCGAATCGGAGTTTCCGCGGCGAGAGCTGCCGGAGATCTGATCGGAGAAGTGGGAGGGAGTGAGAGAGAGAGAGAGAGCGAGATAGAGTCAAGAGAGTAGAATCTAGGGAAAGAAAAGCAAAAGCGTGGACGACGACGATAGCTTCTTAAAAGCTTTTTAAAATTGATGGAGAAAGAGAGGAATGATAAAAACCGGACGGGCAGAAAATAAAAAAATGGTGGGATTGAGGAGGAAACTTGCGATTTCTTCGTCTGATTGCGAGAGGGTGAGAGAGGGGAAAGAAAAGGCAATCTTTTGTGGCACGTGGGCAGTAGGGAGCCCTTACAGTAGAGGTACGACTGGGAGGAAAAAAAACGAAAATGGGGTATTCCAAGAGAAAATATATATATATGGCCAAACAAAGGAATTTTTACTATATCACATGGCATGATAAAATATGTCATATATAATTTATCAAATTAATTTGATTTTATTTATTTATTTATTTGTGAATTTATATCAAATTAATTTGATTAAAATAATTAAAAAATGATAATTTATCGTGTATATATAAAAATATACATTTAATATATAACGTGTCCTAACGTGTCGGAATTCTCTACTTTTTGAAAAATGACGTGTCGGCGTGTCGTGTCGTGTCGTGCCGCGTGTCGATGTCGGTGTCGGTGCAACATAAGGGCGCGTTTGGTAACGCTTCTGTTTCTTTATTTTTCTGTTCTTCCGTTCCCTGGAACAAAAAAAGAACAGAAATCCATTTGGTAACGCATTTTATTTTTCGATTTCCTGGAATAGAAAAGTGGCCAAGAAATAGATTTGGAGCAGAAATAAGAAGTAGAAAAAATCTACTTCTTTGTTCCCAGAAATAGAAATAGAAATAGAAAGGTCCGGTCCTCAAGCCGCGACCTCAGCTCCTCCTCCATCCTCCGTCATCTGCAAACCGTCTCAAAGCACCGATCCGGTCCATTCTCGGCAGAAATAATAAAAAAATTTAAAAATTAATTAAATTATAAAAAATTTAAAAATTCCAAAAATTCATAAAAATCAGAAAAATTCTCAGAAAATCCATAAAAATCAGAAAAACTCAGAAAACCCATAAAAATTTGCAAAATTCTGAAATTGAAAAAACTAAAAAAAATTCATAAAAAGCTTTCTGGAAAATAAAAAGAGATAAATTTCGGGAAAGTAAAAAGTTTTAATAAACTTTTCCCCAAAAAAAATAAAAAATTCACATAATGGCTTAGAATAAATTAAAAAATTCTGAAAATTCATAAAAATTAGAAAAATTTCAGAAAAATCCCATAAAAAATTAGAAAATTATCCCAAAATTCATATAAATCAGAAAAATTCTCAGAAAATCCATAAAAAATCAGAAAAACTTAGAAAACGAATAAAAATTTGCAAAATTCTGAAATTGAAAAAATTTTAAAAAATTCATAAAAAGCTTTCTGGAAAATAAAAAGAAACAAATTTCGGGAAAGTAAAAAGTTTTAATAAAATTTTCCCCAAAAAAAATAAAAAATTCACATAATGGCTTAGAATAAATTAAAACATTCCGAAAATTCATAAAAATTAGAAAAATTTCAGAAAAATCCCATAAAAAATTAGAAAATTATCCCAAAATTCATATAAATCAGAAAAATTCTCAGAAAATCCATAAAAATCAGAAAAACTCAGAAAACCCTTAAATATTTGCAAAATTCCGAAATTGAAAAAATTAAAAAAAATTCATAAAAAAATTTAGGGAAAAATAAAAAGAAACAGATTTAGGGAAAGTAAAAATTTTTAATAAATTTTACCCCAAAAAAATATAAAAAAATTCACAAAATGGCTTAAAATACCTGTGGCCACCCACTTTGAGTGAAATTTAAATTTTTGAGGTGCCCAAGTGGTATTTTTGAAGATTCGTTAGTTTAGGGATTAAAATGGATTTTAAACCCCTAAAAAGGATTAGACAAACCAATAAATCATGCTTATTGGTTTTTTCACTTATAACTTGTACTTATAGTTAAATAAAAGATATAGATTTGAATGCAAAAAATTGGGAATAGAAATTTTGTACAGTTACCAAACGCATTTCTGTTTTTTTTTCTATTCTAGGAATAGAAATTTTGTGCAGTTACCAAACACATTTCTGTTCTAGAAATAGAAATTTTGTACACTTACCAAACGCATTATTTTGCTAAGAAACTCTTCCAGGAAATAGAAATAGAAAAAACTATTTCTGAAAAGAAATTGTTCCCAAAAATAGAAACGTTACCATACGCACCCTAACTAACCACAGATCTTGAAAAGGCCAGTTTTGTTATGCTTTTAGGCTTGGGCTTTTCCTGGTTTTGTTGATCTATTTTGGGCCCAATTAAGCTGATCCGTGGCGAACACCGGGACAACTTCTGCATTTCACCTTTTCAGATCTTGCGACTCTTTAAATGTCTTATTAGTGGACATCTATTTAAACCAAGGTATTCTAAGCCCTTTTTAAGATATATCAATGCTGATATAGTGAATTACGTATTTTGTATTTGAAAGATGTGTTTATACTTTAGCTGGATAAACAAGTTTTATGAAAAGGTCGAAATATGCATGACGTACTATTTGTATGTTATTAACTGGAGAGTAGCTCGAGAGGCCTGAAAGATAAATGGGCGAGTTCGGATAATATTCTTATTTTGAGAAGAGCTGGCCAACTTAACTTTAGCCCGGTCCCGGTCCTGGCCCGGGCATTTGTGTGCACTTTTGTACGGTGATCAGGCTTGAATGGATATGATGCATTTGGTGCGTGTCTATGGCGCTATGCAAAGCTTTACTCGCGCACCAACACATTCAACCAACGATTGAAATAGGTGCTTCGAGGGTGCCATGCGTTTTTGGAGTTTCATAACAACCCCAAAATTGGAGATGTGTTGGAAAGCATAGCTCGAATTCTAATAGGAGATCAAGATGGGAGGCCCTTCATAATTACTGAAAATCCATTAAATGACCAACATTTATTTAGGCAGTACATAGTTCTTCAAGTACAATAGTTCAATCGAAAACCGTATATCACCGCTTCATCTGAGATTCACTGTTCCAAAGATTGATCAGGCTCATTCTCTTTAGAGTGCTCCTACTCTCGTATCTAAATGTACACTGGCCCTAAATGATCGGGGAAGACTTCTTGACTGAGATCGAGAAGACATTTTGCATTCTTTCAGAGCATAAGCAATTCCATGTGCGCCTGAGTTATAACTACAACAATGGTGAGAGTCGAATGGAGTAGCTTACGGATGGAGTCATACACCGGGAACGAGAAGTAAATGCTCCTTTAAGAACTTCTCCTTTGAACAGTGGGGTTGTATATCTTTACATGAAGAATTGCATTGTAAGCCCAGGAACCTGGTGCTAGGAAACTGCATCAGATTTCTCAGTATGCAAAGCAGCATGGTCTTGGTTACCGATGTCTTCATTTTCGAGATCAACACTGGCTTTTTTTGATCTGCTGAAAGCATCGGAAGGTATATTGATGCCTGCAAATCCAATCATGACCGCAACAGCGCCGAGGTAATCCATGAGATGAGGTGCATTGCCAGTCAGTGAATCTACAACAGCTGCCAATGGAACTTGTATGGTAAGACCAGCTGTTGCGACGGTGGTGGTAGTCAGAAGAACGGCCTTGGCCCATAAGTAATCGCTCAGCACATTATCTAACAAACCTGAGTATGAATAGGGAAAGGGGAAAAGAAGCAGATTCGTTAGTTTGAACTTCCAGCATATTTGGCAAATCCAACAGCTCTAACTATAGATCAACAGAATTCCAAATCAAATGTCGTCAGGTAGAAGTTATTATCTCTCCGTCCACAAGAAGTCAAATGTAAGCATGTGTGTGAGTTACCACCCTGGCAACTACAAAATCATTGCTCTTCTATCCCTTCATTTGAATTAAATCATTGAGATCAATTTTAGAGGGCCATGATCATCTTTGCCTCAAAAAAGGTTTGCAGTTGAAGGATAAAGCTCCCATTGGCAAGAAAGCAGATGTTGCTATATTTTAAAAAAATAATCTGGCTAAGTAACTCTATCAATTTAATAATCCAAATCCCAAATAAAAGCTGTATCCATCATGCAGCTGTCCGGTATTCCATTGTTAGTATGCCAGCAATCTGAGTCTACTTTGCAGCAATCTGAGTCTACTTTGCGGTAATTGA